TATTGGAGGAAAAGGGTTGTGTTAGTAATGTGGATTGATGATCTTATTGCAATATACCATGTCAGGTTGACCTCCACGCAGTTTCCCCTGGAAACCATAAAATCGTGATAAATTCTTGGTGAATTAGCCAAGATGGGCTAACTGCCCAGACCTCATGTTCATTCTATCATCCTCCACTGGTGCCCCGCGGGCTTAAATCGTTAGCGCAGAATAAAGAAAGATATTTGCTTTTTGGGTAAAGTTAAAAAAAAATATTTATGTAGTACATTTTTAATCTACATTAGTACATTTTTAATCTGGCACATTAAATTAAATAATTTAATGTGCCAGATTAAAAATGTATCATCGTAAAATGTATATGTAAATGTATCATCATCGGTTCAACTCGGCTAGAGCTACATCAGTTCAGATCTGGCAACAATTTAATTTAATTTCAGAATATAACTTACAGATACATAGATACATAAGAATAACACATACGCTATAAATTTCACGCGGATATATCTAACTGCAGGCACAGCCAGTACCTACATGAAATGACTAGTATAATATTTACATCTAAAGTAAGATTATTAATTCCAGTCAGTAAAATGACATTTCCAGTGTTGCGAGTTTTTAGTTCCAAATAAATAGTGATGTGGTAGAATCGAGTTTTTACAATTAAAAGTTAGTCGAGATTACATTTTTTTTATTCAATATCAATTTGCCTTTATATAAATAAAAATTCTAGTATTAATTCCTCTGAATCTCTTTTTACATTTTTTCCCAGCTTTTGTAATATTGTTATAGTGAGAAATTTTAATATGCTGGTAAGGTCCATATTTCTAAAATCGTATTATTTAATACGATATGTACTAATATTAAATATATATACTAATAAAATAAAGCATGACTAAATGTCTAAGTCTATTGATTGCCGCACATCACTATTGTAGCAGGTCACCCTTTTTTGTATCAGTGACAGTTGCACTTGTCATTTTACTGACTGGAATTAATAATCGTACTTTACGATTAGTACATTTTGTATATTACGAGTATTATTATTTTATTTATTTTAGGAAGATTAATGGTGTAATTTTACATGTTACTTGTTATATCAAATTGTCGTATGCCAATTAATAATCTTCGCCAATAGTATTACTAGTTTCAGTTGTAGTTATACAGTACAAGTAAATAGACCAACATACCCACAAGTAGCGATGTATCCACAGAACACACAAATAAAGTACGGCTATATACCGTTAAAGAATTGATTACATATGAGTTTCCTAACTGAGGCAGTGCTGGAACAAAACAGGTCAATATCCTATTATTGTTGTATTATTATTTAGCTGGAGTATCCAGCTTGGTGGACCAGGGAGCGATTATTCCGCTGGCTTCATTCCGTTCCCGAGGATTCGTTTTGGAACTGCCTAATATGCATTTTGGCGCTGTTGGCGATTATCTGGGTCGCCGCCGAGTACAAACATCCCTACTTAGATTTTGCGGATGTGTTGTATAACATCATATATGCAATTCACGTGCTGGGTATAGCGTATGATCTATTTGTCACCGTTGAGATCGTCGATGTGGATTACTGTACATTATGTTAGTATTTGTCTTATTATTGTCAGAAATTATGACGTCAATGGATGATTAAGGAGTGAATAGAAGCAAGGCGTTAAAACCAATATTTACAAATGATGACGATGATGTAATCCCGGCCAATTTCGGCCACGGCGACTGTCTTCAACTCCGCTTTTGCCGTTGATGTGCTCGCATTTTTTTCACACAGCTCCATCTAGTCCCAAGTTAAGCTAGCTAAAGCTTGTGTTACGGGTACTAGATAACTGATACATATACATAGATATATATTTTTTGTAAATACATACATATTATACATAGAAAACAATCAGACCGACACAAACAATTATACTCATAAAAACAAATGTTTGTGCCGTGCGAGGAATCGAACCCGCAACCATCGGACGTAAAGCGGTGTGTTAGACCGCTAGACCACGGAGGTCGTCAGACAACATGTGACTACATGTGACGACATGTGACTCGCATGTGACTTATGTAGCCATTTTGTTTGTAAAAATCCTCGCACAAATTTACAAATATATAATATAAAGCATAGTGATTGCTTATTCAGTAACATATGACCTTCGGTACGCCGGTGCGACACTGCGATTTATTAATTCATTTATAAAAACGCGGGAAAACAAAATTGGTCTGTGCCATTCCTTTCCGGCTTGCTTGACATTGCTCTTGTTTATGAGAATTGAACTAAAATTCATTATTTTACAGTGCTTCTAAAATAAAAGTTCACACAGTTTTACATAATGATTCTTTTGTTTTAATTGAGATGGGCTTGCACATACACACAAATACTTTAAATAAATTTATGCAAATATGTAAATATTTGCAAATATGCGGGAATGAAAATGAAATTCTTATACAGATTAATTAATCAAGCCTGTATCTAGCTTTTCAATTACCGTTTTTTTAACATCTGAAATAAAAAAAAAAACTTCTGGGATTACAGTTTGCTTCGTGATAGATTTGGCGTCGTACTTCCATTACGTGCTAGTAGTGAACAGACAGAAAGAGTTCAAATTGGTATGCTATTACCTGAGGTTGCACAGACCGTTTAAATTCCTTTGTAAGTATCGAATTCATCCGATGGTAGATCCATCGGTAGTTACTATATTGAAATAAAACATCATTAATGTAGGTCTATTATAGTCATTTATGACAAGTCAAACCTACCGCCAGTTGGTAATGTAGTTTGAGTCGAGAAAATCTAATATTGAACATTATTGTACCTAATATTCTAGATTATTAAACTATTAATATTATTATTTTCCTAATCAGAAGACGATCATCATACAGCTTTATGTATTCTTCTAAAGACTTTAAAGATTCTAAAGACAAAGCTTTAATCTCACAGCTCGCCTTTTCCCTGCTCTTTAAAAAGTATTTTAGAAACAAGGAAGATTATGGATAATCTTTGCCTGTTTTATCATTGAAAAGGGTGTGGACGAATATGAAAAAAAAAGGATATATGGAGAAAATAGTTTATGATGATATTTTTATAGATGTTAGGACGAGAGTACCTATTGCCTAGCTGACTTCATTACTGAGGGGAAAGGCAGTCATTTGGCAACAATGCACGAGACTAAATTATTACTTGCCAAGCCAGTTTTATGGCTTGGCTTGGCTTGGCTTACTTTAAAATAGTACCTAAATTACAAATGAAATGTTGGGAGAATTGTCGGAGCCAGACGAAAATAAAAATTACGTCGGGAAAGTCATTCCATTTTAGTTAATGTTTACATTTTAAAAGCGGTGCAATGAATTCACTAATCCAATATTTATAAACTTTATTACTAGCTGTATCTGCGGCTTCGTCCGCGTGGAATTTAACAAAAAAGTTAATTAGAGAATTTTTCTAAAATAAAAGTAGCCTAAGTTACTCCTTATTACATCAGCCAGTCAAAAAAAGTCCCGTCAAAATCGGTCCAGCCATTTCATAGATTAACCGGAACAAACAGATAACGTCTGACTACGTACGCACGCGATTTGTTGATTGGTTGTTAGCTAGTGACAAAGATGGCGACGACAATTTTGTTTGTCAGTGTCATTAGAATTTAACGAAATACTCCATAATCCGAATTTTGCGGATATATATTGTTGACTCGAAATCAATATTTTTTTGTTTTGTTATTCACATAAGGTTTCGTTCGAGTCTACCGTACCCCTTGACGAAATTATTAATATAGATGCATGTAGTAAAAAACGGTTATTTCAATATTACAAACAGACACTCCAATTTTATTTATATGTACAGATGTATCCACGCGAAAGGTTTCTTGAATTAAGGATATTATATGACAAGAGTCTGTAATAGACCTACATGAATAAATATATTTTGATTTGATTTGTAATGTTTTTTTAAGGGCAATTAAGTGACTACTACCTCAAAGACAATATTATTGGCACTACTCTCAAGTATTGCTACATATTTTTCGTGTTAAGAGTAACTTGGGCCATTATCTGGCTTCATGTTGACGAGGTATGCTATTTTTTATATCTATAGGTAAATATTTATGTAAGATATATAACTCTATGTACTAGTATGTAATATTATATTATCTGTGGTACTAGTAAAAGTATGTATTATAATAAAATAAAAACTATATAGCACATTAATTTAACTATGTCTCTAACACAATTCAATTTAGCATTTAAAATACAACCAGCACATCTTACAAAAACCCTCCTTTTATACAGAGAAGATATGAGTGGGGGTTATACGCAACTAGTTTAACGATACCGAACAATAAAGAAACTACCTTCTGTTAATATTTAAAAAATATCAGATTTTTCGACAATATCGATGTGAATCCTAACATACCATATCGCGTGGCTCTTTTAAACAAACTACCAAATATCACTAACTTATAAGAGTCAAAATCTTCTCTCTCTGCCTAGATTTTTCCCATTTTATTTGGGATTGGCTCTCCTAGTCCTTCACCAGGCAAACCTATCCAGACCAGGAGCCTGGTGAAGAAGGACTAGTCGTCGAGTCGTTTATTTCAGTTTTCTTTTGGTTTGGTTATTGATGACGGACTACCAAGTTAGTAAGGGTCATTCTCGTCTCTTTGAACCTTAACACCGGCTGCAGGGGCGGATCTACCTAAGGACTTTTTGCGCTGCAACCCAGGCCCCCGAGGATACAAAGGTCCCAGTCCCCACTGAAACGATATTTAAGATATAAAAAAATATCTAGAATGTAAAAAACCTATAAGGTTGGCAACCCTGAGATCAATCAACTCATGCAGGTGCGCGTCTATCGAAAGGAACGTGGAATTACTGGTTACTTGTTTTTGGTCGGTATATTTTCTTAGTTGTGTAATATAATTACGTAGGGCCCTAAGTAGATTTAGCCCAGGGCCCCACAAATTCACGATCCGCCCCTGACCGGCCGGTTTAAAGTTCAAGACTTTTTTGGTTATATGACTCTCTTCTCGTCTCATTACTTGGCCGTACCATCTCAACCTCTCTCGGTGAGTGTGTTATCGATGGGGAGATGTTAAGATATGAGTCATAATATTATTTTACCATTTTCACTTTATTTCTTTATACAAGTGATTCAGTTTCTAAAATATTCTACCCGGCTTCGGCTTTACAACACTATACTCTTTAATCCTAGCTGTTATAATATAGGTAACTAATTATAAAATAAGTATTGTACATACGTATATTATTTATATATTTCTATGCAGTTTGAGCGCGAATACACAGAGGCCCCTGCATGGAAGCGTGCTCTGTATGAAGTGCAACATGACAATCTTTATTACGATGGTCATAAGGACGATATTGCCAGTCAATTCCTGTTCGCGGTGTATATTGTCAACAAAATGTTCATACCTATTGGGTATGTACCTACATATATATGTTGCGCCGCTGAAAGTGGTTACTTGTCATGGATTTTGTATAAAGTCTTAATAATAATAATAATCTCCGGACAATTCACACAGCGCCATCTAGTCCCAAGTTAAGCTAGCTAAAGATTGTGTTATGGGTACTAGATAACTGATACAAGTACATAGATATATTTTTTTTTTGTAAATACATACATAATATATATAGAAGATACCCAGACCGATACAAACAATCATACTCATGAATACAAATGTTTGTGCCGTGTGATGAATCGAACCCGCGACCATCGGACGTAAAGCGGTGCGGTGTGCTAGACCGTTTAAGTTTATTTACTAAGTGTATTTTCTGAATAGCATTTTCATACAAAATACACAGTGAAATGGAACATTGTATAGTATTTTTTTAAAGATAATAATAATCAGTAACCCTGGACAATTAACACAGCGCCATCTAGTCCCACGGTAAGCTGACCTTGTGTTATAGGTACTAGAGAACAGATGTAAATACATAGATACATATTTTTTGTAAATACATACATAATATACATAGAAAACCCAGACCGATACAAACAAACATGCTCTTGAATACAAATGTTTGCACCGTGCGAGAAATCGAACCATCGGAAGAAAAGCCGTCTACTAACCACGGAGGCCGTCATAGCTAATTTAACAGTTTTTCTCTGGTATTAATTGCGTCATATCAGCAGATGTAATGCAACCCACGTAAAACAAGATGGCGTTTTAAAACCACACACCAAATATACACTACCACAACCCGGGACCATCGAAAGATTTGGATTAGCCTTGCGAGGTCGTCAAAAACCACATTTACCAGCATTTGTACAAGCACAAGCAATAGATTTATTCTTTTTTTGACTTGGAGAAAATCTCTCATGGAGACCCGCCCGCCCCGGGATAGGCAAGTGGCTACTGTGAGACCCCTACTCACCAAAAACAACGAAATGCCCGTCACCCAACGCCATATGCCGGAGTCGCGGGATCGATGTTTGGATTCACATCGTTCGCGGTTCCGACGGCGGTGGCCCACTCTAGCAGCGCAGCGATTTACCCCTTCTCTGCGGATTCCCTTTGCGGAATCCACTACTTCTCGTCCTCTTAGGACTAGGACCCTAGTCTCTAGGGAAGGCGCGGGAAACAACCTTCCTACAATTCTACTTGTATTTCATCAGGCCGTCAGTAGCACCATCAAATGACATAGAGCGTATAACGTGCCTGTTGGTGATGATCACCGGTTGCCTGGTGGTGACTGGGGCTGCTGTGGCGTCGCTTACACTCGTCATCAGTATATACATGAGGCCTGAGGAAGCTTTCCGTGCGAGGTACAGGCTGATTATGAAAGAGATGGTGAGTAATTCCTAAATATAGCGGAAGAAATCCAAGAAGTAAAACACAATGGCTTTTCGTCTTCATGATCCTGTAGAAACCATATTAGGTCTATTTATATAATTGGAATAGCAAACAAGCAGGCAGCCCATCTGATGGTAAGTGGTAACCGTCGCCTATATACAAGAATAGCACTAAGGATTGTTATAGAACACCCTCGATACCACTCTCTCATTGCCATTCCAAAGGACTAAGGTATTATGCCTCTCATCCTGTAATTCCACTGCCTAATAGAGAGCGCTCTAAAAGTGAAACACAGTAAGCTGTTTGGAGGTTGAATTAAGTAAAGACCGTGAATAAGAATCTATGCAGACGATGTTTAGTCTACCATAGGTAACAAATGATTAATATGCACAAACGGTTATCAAACTCGACTATAATCCATCTGGCTACCACAATATCAAAACACCTGGCTCCAATAATAACAGTAGAATGAATTCATACTCAACTAGGTCCTACTTAGACAGTTTTATGTGGTGCAGATATTGCGTTCCTCTCTTAATTTACTGTGCGTTGTGTATATAGCATAATAAATCCCCTAGTCGCCTGAGGCTAGATACCAGAAACTCTGTGAAAACTTTATTTTTGGAAATATTTATTTTTAAAGTATATATTATATTTATATAACATAAATGATATATATCAAAAATTTTCGCCATTACTGCCCTACAACGCTTTCTAGTTCTACCCAAAGGTTAGCTGGTAGAGAATGCCATATGGCATTATAATTTATATTAAGCTCGCCTTTTATACACTCTTTTAAAGTGCAATAAAGAATAAAAAAAAAATGTTTAATTGTGGAGTTTTATGTTCACTGCACTAGATAGACGACAGGGGGAAGGGGATTATTAGTAATGGACCCCCATAGCTAGTATTGTATCATGTTAGGTCTACACGGTTACTTCTGGAAACTATCGTTATAAATTCCAAGTGGATTTGTGAAGATGCGCTAACTGACCTGATCTCATGCTCATCTTTCATCCTTTACTTGTGTCCCGAAAGCGTAAATCGTTAAGCGAGTGCATCATTCCTTTATCATTAATAAAAATTAACACAGGCCATAAAAATAGACTACTCCGTCTTCAGAAATCAACAAAAGTTCCGCCAAATCTCCGCGAAAAAGTGGAGACATTCTATAAAATGTACTGGCACAAGCAACGAGCGGTGTCGGCTACTCAACTGTTACCTACATACCCTCCTACTCTCTCTGCTACTATATATACAGATATATACTTCGAGGCAACACAAAAGGTATGTAATGATACATTGCATTAAAAGAACAACGATAACAACGACTAGACCTGTTAATGAAATGGTGCTCCCGCCTGCGCTAACAGTTTACGCTGGCGGGGCAAAAGTGGAGGATGATAAGATGAACATGAGATCAAATCAGTTAGCCCATCGTGGTAAATTCACCAGAAATTTACCACGATGGTTTCCGAGGAAACCACGTGGAGGTCAACTTGACATGGTACATTGCAAGTAATGGGGTTATAACTATCCTCTTCCACTTTGTGCTAGCTTATTGCAGTGTGTATTAAATTTACTTATTGAAATTAAGTATTATATGACAAAAAGCAATGGGGTTATTAGACCTCATTTGTGACAATGTTAGTAAGGAGGATCCCTATTTGTAGTATTCTAATTCTGGTTCGGTACCTAGAATTTTCAAGCAGAATAATAGATTAAGAGCAAACACGATAAAATTGTTAGCGGATGTAGTTGATCAAAGTGGTAGTTAGTTTGATCATTTCTAACTATGTTTATTTATAGTCTACATTGCAAATAATGTTTGAATTTAATTCATCGGAGTCGGCTTTGCGATCTTTTCTTTGAGTTTCTATCGGAAGTTGCCAATAAAAAGAGAAAACACATTGTATCTTAAACATAGCACAAAAATACAAGAAGTCCTAACACACAACTGCTTTTCGTCTCCAAGATCTTGTAAGAATAGGTATGTTAAGGTTTCTTAAGAGTCGGCAACGTGCCCGTAACACCCCTGGTGTTTCAGACGTCCATAGACTACGGTAACCGTTTACCTTCATATGGATCATAAGCTTGTTTGCCACCATAGTGTTATAAAAAACGAATTAACTGTCTATTTGATGGTAATTGGTCAACTTCGTAAACATATTGGAGTGACGATTTGAAGTATATTTGGAGTGTTGTTTTTGGCTAATAGATAATGATTCAATTTAGAGTCGGATCCTCTGCGACCTCTCCTTTGAGTTTCTATCTGAAGTGGCCAAGAAAATGAGTACAATACATTATATACCGGGGGATACTCTCATCAAGCGGCTCTCCACCAAGTCGTCGATAATATATGTCACTTACGGAGACATTGAAGTAAGAACTAGTGCCTTTTAACTAGTAACTTCTTTATCATGCATTGATTGATTGATTAAATATAAGTTTGTAATAATAATAGAAGCTGCAATACAACCTCAACCCACTCTCGAACCGTTTATGAAATAACAAAGGACTTTCTACAGACTTTTTTGTAAATACATGCATAATACTCATGGGTACAAATGTTTGTACAATGCTAGGAATTTAACCTGCGACCATTGTAAGTAAGGCGGTGTCTAAACCTCTAGACTGAGGTCGTCGAATTTTTATTACGATCACTTTGAGTCGATTGATTCTCTGGTCAATGCAGATGTTAACAGCAGAGGACAACAGCACGGCCATCCTGCGTATGACGCGCGGCACGGTAGTGAGTCCACTGGCGGGCGCATGGCCCGCGGGCTGCGGCTGCGCCCCGTGGAGATGCGCGCCGCCACGTTCTGCGCCGCGCACGTGCTCGCCGCTGCCGACCTCTGGCGCGTCGCTCTCAAGTACGCCAGGGGCACTGACCATACACGCCTTATTCTAGCGGCCTTCTATGTAAGTGATCATCTTAATAGACCAGCAATTTTTTCTTAAAATGTCCTAAATCTATTTTTATTATAAAATTGTCTTCTTCTTTAAGACTATTTTCATCATTTGAAAGAAAGTGATTTGTTCTAAAAGCATTTACATAAAATTGATGAGCCGCCTTTTACGTTTATTAACTGACTACTTTAATGATAATAACTAAAATATATTTAAAAAATTAAATTTTAATATATGCTCTTGCTAATTGGTTTTATCAGCAAAATCGGTCTATCCTTTCTATTATCTGTGAAATATTGTACTAGATGTAAATGAATTCGATAGTATTGTTACAGTACTTGATAATTGCTATTATACTTCACCAGGAACATTTTGAAAGAGTGAAGAAACATTTTTATTCAAAAACACCCGAAGATGTCAAGTAAGCTTTCCAAATATCCACAAAATGTTATTTATGTAGCTATAGATATCAAAAACGTATTTTATAAATGCACCGAAATAATAAACTCGTATAGGATGAGATTCGGACCTCAGGTTCCGAACGGTTTTTTTAAGTGCGGAAATATTTTCAAAAGATGTCCACCCGGCCAAAGAGCCACGAATTCTTTAGTCCGTAAAAATCCGATATACATTATGGATTTTCACCCACTTTAGAAGTAAGCGAGCCTAGGGCACAATACTATAATAATTTACGATTATTAGATCTCGGAATGTTTGTTGATGATTATATTTATTAATATGATTATCTTTAGGATACCTGTCGTGGCTACAGATCAAATAAATCAACATCAGTTTCTCGTACAATGGTTTTGCAATAAAGTCAGTTTCTCTAAAGTTGAGAAGTTTTTTGTATCGCGGACAATAGAAAACGACCGTACGAAACTCACGACCTTTGGTTCCAAATGTAAGTAAGGGACGAGATGTTTTCTCTGATTTTATCTACTGCATTATTTTATTAATATTAAAAGGCACAAGAGTAGTATCCTACACTTCAAGCGGAATCTGTTGGCGTTGAAAGAAGCAAAAGACGCCAACGGCAACCTGCTGCTGCCTAGAACTGATTTCTTCTTAGAAATTGCTGGCTGTTACATTATGAGAAATGTTCGTATGGTTTTCATTAAACATCTAGTTTAGGATAAGGAAATTGTTATATATTTATTTATAATGCTTTATTTCATCAATTTTAACAGTAGATACAATGAAAAATAAAACAAAATATTGAAGAAAAAACACACACAAGGGTGTCTTATTGCTAACACAATCTCCATTTCATTACTTTATAGCCTTGAAGCATTGTGTCGACTGTCGCAGTTTGGTTGCAGAACAGTCAACACTAGGCTTCAAGCTATATTCGAACTCTATTCAATACCTGATAATGTCTCGTTCAGAGGTGAAACACGCGTCGCAACATAGGTGTAGACTCAATAACGGTCGGAATTTGATCATCAATAGGAAGGTTGTAACGCTTCCAGGAGCGGTGGTCGGGTTTCCACACTCAATATTTGTAGTCTCACACATGCTAATACTAGTGGAATTAAACAAGATAATATAAATCTATTAAGTGTTCTCGAACAGTGCATTTCAGAGGAACTTGGAGCTCCTGCGTACACTTAGATTGTGAAATGACCTGCCGAGGTTTTCTCGAGAGACTACAGTATGAGTTTTTTCAGATGATAAATGAAATTTGGAGGCTTATGAATAAATGCTATTAAATTTGCTGTCACGTGTAGCGACCGGATGCAACTTTAAACCAAGAAACGGACGCCATTTGCCTGCGGTCCACATTCCCGTGCATCCTGCAGCCGGAGTCCTCGCTGCAGATCGCGTGGCAGTCCTTTGTCTCATGTCTGATTGTTGTTGTGTGCATCGTGAGTATTTTTGCTTCTTTGCGTATTACGCTTTGGTATCTTAAATTAATCAATCATTAAGACCTAAGATATTACCTACATATCTTTGGATGGAGAAGGTAACAGGCCAGTTTTTATCCCGTGTAAACGTGGTGAAAAATACACCCTTGGTTACTCCGGGATAATGCAGTATAGCAATGGTATTGGAGACCCTGGACAGGGATCCATGGGGGCGTCCTTATAGGTTCGTCAGGGGCAAATTACGCCCCTGGGCGCCCCCCGTGGCAGAGGGTCTCCAGCCGCAGCAGTTGGAGGAGGTGTTGGAGGAGCTGTTCCCGAGACAGCCTCCCTTCACACCTCCTCCGATGATGCCGCGTGGCAGTGATGAAGAGGCCAGCGGCGTCAGCGCTGCTGCGGTTCCTGCCATCACCGTGGAGGAGTTCGCCGCGGCCGTGGATAAACTCCGGGGCAAGAATGTCGCCCCGGGTCCGGATGGTATCCACGGCCGCGTCCTGGCCTTGGCCTTAAACACCCTAGGGGACCGACTCCGGCGCTTGTTCAATGCGTGTCTGGAGTCGGGACGGTTTCCCAACCAGTGGAAAGCGGGTAGAGTGGTCCTGCTCCGCAAAGCGGAGCACCCCGCAGGTTCGGTGGTTCCCTCGACGTTCCGCCCCATAGTGCTGTTGGACGAGATCGGCAAGCTCTTTGAGAGAATCTTGGCGGGCCGACTCGTCCATTCACCTGTCTCAGGTAGGTCCCGATCTCAGCCCGAAGCAGTTCGGGTTCCGAGAGGGCGCTCGACGATAGACGCGATCTCGCGTGTGCGCTCCCTCTCGGAAGAGGCGACGTCCCAGGGTGGGGTGTTGTTGGCGGTCTCTCTAGACATTAAGAACGCCTTCAACACCCTGCCCTTTGCGACTATTAGGGAGGCGCTGCAGTACCATTGCGCGCCTCCTACATTCGAGACGTGATCGGGGCCTACCTCGAAGACAGTCTGTGCTCTGCACGGGGCGGAACAGCGTTGTAGTGTCGAGGGAAATGCAACGCGGTGTTCCACAGGGATCGGTTCTGGGCCCGATCCTGTGGAACAACGGGTATGATTGGAACCTGCGGGGCGCCCTTTTAACGGGCACTGACCTCGTGTGTTACGCGGATGACACCTTGGTCACTGCCCGGGGGCGGGACCTACGGGAGGCTACCCGCTTTGCCACTGCAAGCGTGGCGCTGGTCGTCGGCCGAATTAGAAGGCTTGGGCTCCAGGTGGCGCTGGAGAAGACCGAGGTCCTGTGTTTTCATGGGCCTCGGCGTGCGCCACCTCCGGATGCCCAGCTGGTCGTCAGTGGCCAGAGGGGGGGGGTCAAGCCCTGTATTCGATACTTGGGGCTTGACCTGGACAGTCGTTGGAGCTTCCGCGCTCACTTCCGGAACCTGGTCCCTCGCCTCATGGCAGCCGCCGGCGCTCTTAGCTGGCTGCTGCCAAACGTGAGGGGCCCGGGAGAAGGTTCCCGCCGCCTATACCTCGGCGTGGTGCGGTCCATGGCCCTGTACGGGGCCCCCCTCTGGGTGGGGGCCCTAGGTAGGGAAAATGTGGCCTGCCTCAACAGGCCACACAGGGCCATGGCCATCAGGGCCATTAGAGGCTACCGCACCATATCCGGGGAAGCGGCGGGTCTGCTGGCGGGGTCTCCTCCGTGGGACTTGGTAGCGGAGCTCCACGCGTCAGTGTATCACTGGCGCGCGGAGCACGTTCCATGGGGAGGCACCCGCTGGTCACGAGATTGAAGCGCGGAGGTCCGACTCTCGGCGGATCCTCAGGATCGAATGGCGGGCGAGGTTGATGAGCCCGTCACCGGCCTGAGGACCATCGAGGCTGTCCGTCCACCCTCAAAAGGTGGATGAATAGGAGATGGCCACTGACGTACCGCATGACACAGATACTGTCCGGGCACGGCTGCTTTGGGCGGTATCTGTGTCATGTGGCGAGGAAGGAGCCGACGACCGGCTGCCACGAATGCGGAGGTGTAGAGGACACGGCGCAACACACGCTGGAAATATGTCCAGCGTTTGAGAGTGAGCGCCGTGTCCTCACACGAATAGTGGGGGACGATCTCTCGCTGCCGAATTTAGTTCGGAGGATGGTCTACTGACCATCCTCGAACTAAATTCGGCGGGATCGTGGCTGGCGGTGAGCTCCTTCTGCGAAAAGGAAGTTATCTCGCGGAAGGAGGCGGCGGAAAGGGAGCGGGAGTCAGATCGTCCCGCTTCCCTCCGCCGCAGAAGAGATTTTGGGCCTAGAGGTGGGAGCATATCCAACTCCGCCCCCTCTATCCCCCACTGGGGCCGGGGTGACTGCCTTGGGAGGCGGTCCCTATTAAAGGCCCCGGAGGTGTGCGCGTGTACCCACACGCCTCCACAATGGAGTAGGGCGAAATAGGTCGCCCTAATCACAAAACGAGATGGGGCCTGACCTAGAACTTATACAGGGCGGGCCGTCGACGTCGGAGCTGGGGTAGAATGCATTGCGATTCCCCTGGCTATTGCACTAAGGTACACCGTGTGGTTTTTTAGTGGGTACAAGACCCACACACCACCTCGCCATTTTCCGGCGGGGTGACGGTCTTTTGAAGATTTTCCACACGTTAAAAAAAAAAAAAAAAGTATAGCAATGGTATAGAACTTTTTTAAATCGGGCTAGTAATTTCTTCGGGACAAACAGATAAAAATACATTTTTCTCTTTATAATATTTCATATGCATATTTTCTGTCACCTGATACATGTTTTCTGTTGCGGTAAATTATGATAGGTCCACCCATACTACTTGGTGTTTACGAAGACCGTGCCGCTGGAGTTCAGATTCTTTGACTACGTGATGACAGTGGTGTATGCACTGGACCTGATCGCGTACCTCTCAACTGGTGCCAACGTTGAGGAAGGTCAGGTTTTTAAATTGTTATATTTTCTTATCTATATTAATTTTATAATTCGAATGCCTTTTTGTCTATGTAACAACCTGTTCTGTATGATCCCACATCATGAATAATTTAGTCAAATGACCCTTTAGTTTTCCTAATTAGAGTGCTTCTCTTACAGAGTCTGTAAGACTGTATCCAGAACCTATTTTGTAATGGAATGGTACTCCATCCATTCATTTGTTTAGAATAATGCTTCACAGTGAATTGGGGTTCATTAATATATCAAATAGTTATAAATATATACATTTATCTGTGTAGGCTAATGTCTGTAGGTTATGTATATCTCTCTAAGTATCTCTTGTTAAATTGATTGAATTTTCACTGCTAGTTTGTCTTTGTGTATATGTGATAATAGAGCTGTGCACCTTCTTGCTCTCATAGTATCCTGTTAGGGCAGCAGGGTCCATATTGTTAGCAGCATATACATTTGGGGATCATCAGTGGAGGAGATGGACGAAAATAAGTCAAAAAGCATATCTAGATGAATTCAGTAGAACGTAAGCATTTTGGTTTCCATGATGCAATGTTGATAAATAATCTCAATTATTAAGGGATAGAGGATTGTTAATATGGACTAATAGACCCATGCTAGCAATGCCCTATCTCAGGTTGATTTCCTCGCGGTTTCCTCTGGATACCATCTTGTTAAATTCCTGGATAACTTTTTATGATGGGCTAACTGACCTTACTTCATGGTCATCCTATCATCCTCCACTGGTGCCCCGCCAGCGTAAACTGTTAGCGTATTATTTCATTATCGTATGTAAAAAAGTCCCAATTCTTAAGGTCCTTTCACTCTCTCACTGCCAGTTACTGGTGCACAGGTGTGCCAATATCGTTCGCACAGACATCCTCGCAGCAGATGCGCAGCCACTGGTTCGTGCTGGACGTGATCAGCACGCTACCCATTTTCGAGTTCATCGGTGAAGGGCATTTCGCTGGCATTAATAAGTTGCTGAGATTGCCTAAGGTATATTTTTTGGATGAATTGGTTTAATGTATGGCATAAAAAATAAAAAAAACTGTACATCATTATAGCTACCCGTTATTTTTTAATGAATGAAAATGGAATGGTATACTCGCCTGTGGGAACGGGATAGTGTGATACGGGTGGAGTGTGATAGGATGAAATGAGGTGATGATGAGATGGTTTCAGGAGGAACCGCGTAGAGTTTGACCTGATATGGTACATTGACAATCCCCTTCCCCCTATAGCTACCCATTGTAAAGAGCCATCACATAGCCATCAGACTCATGAATGTTTGTGCCGTGCGAGGAATCGAAACTGCGACCATTGGAAGTAAGGTGGTTTACTAAACCATTGGACTACCGAAGCCGTCGTATTGCAGGTGTTCCGTGTGCTGAAGATGCTGGAGGACGTGTGCGTGTACCACAGTAACGTGCTGAGGTTCATGTCGTACACGCTGCTGCTGCTGATCGCCTGCTACCTGATAGCCGCCCTGCAGCAGGGCTTCATGTGCTTCCAGTTACGTTAACACGCATCCTAAGCATATAATTTGTTTTTATATCTTCAAAACAAATTTGACATTCAAATCAAATAAAAAAATCATTCATATAGGAAAAAGAAAAAAACTTTTCAAATGCGACTAAAGTGAGTCACTTTCGACAAGTTTTTTGTATTCATTTTTTCCTGAGACAAATTTGACATTCAAATTAAATCAAAAATCATTCATGTAGGATATTTTAGCCGCTTTGAAATGATTTTTATATTAATATTTTTCGCTACCATCCATTACCCATTACCATGCTAGCCAGCTTTTAGTGATTCATGACGGTTGCACTTAAATAATGTGTATATGTTCATTTAATACACATAATTAATAAAGTATAGATATTATAGGGTTGTTGTACCAAAATAGATTTTTATTAACATACATATTGCACTAAAACAAAGACTGACTGCCTTTTATATGAAAGTAATCTGGCGTAATGCCCTTTTTTGTCCGAGTCACTATTTATAAGCAATTTTGTGCCCCAATACTCTGAAAAAACAGAAGTGATACCATATTGATTACAGATTTGGCTACTGTGTGGTGACGAACTTCACTCACTCCCCGTACTGGGCGAACGAGCCGCTGGACGAGGCCACCGTCGAGAACAGGATCACTTTTGGACTCTACTGGGCGATATCTATGATTACATTTACTTGTAAACCACTTGTACTTATTTTATTATTAAAACAAATCTTAATTGTATTATAAACGTGAAAGTTTGTAAGTATGGATGTTTATTACTCTACCACGCAAAAACTACTGAACGGATTTTAATGAAATTTATAGTAACATAGCGTATGCATAAAAATAACACAGACTATATTTTATATTGAAACCGCGGAGTTTCCGTTCCCCTCCCAAGTTATCTAGAAATTTGGAGCGTTTAGGAACAGTCGCAGCTTTTCATCCAATAGACTCTCAAATGGTTTGCTATTGCAGATTCGTAAAGAAGAATTAGGCAATATTTTTCCTATCCCCTCGCAGGTCATTTGGAAATGTGGGGTCTCACCAAATGGGACAATGTTCTCTACACCATTTCGTATCTCCTCGCAGATCATTTGGAAATGTGGGGCATTATCAAATGGGACAGTGTTCTCTACACTATTGCCTATCCCCTCTCAGGTCATTTGGAAATGTGGGGTCTCATCAAATGGGACAATGTTCTCTGCACCATTTCCTATACCCTCAAGTAATTTAAATGTAAGGCCCCAGCCTCACCAAACGGAACAATGTTCTCTACACCATTTCCTATCCCCTCGCAAGTCATTTGGAAATGTAAGGCCCCAGCCCCACCAAATGGGACAATGTTCTCTACACCATTTCCTATCCCCTCGCAAGTCATTTGGAAATGTAAGGCCCCAGCCCCACCAAATGGGACAATGTTCTCTACACCATTTTCTATCCCCTCGCAGGTCATTTGGAAATGTGGGGTCTCACCAAATGGGACAATGTTCTCTACACCATTTCGTATCTCCTCGCAGGTCATTTGGAAATGTGGGGCCTCACCAAATGGGACAATGTTCTGTACACTATGTTCGTGCTGGAGATCTGTATCGTACTCCACATCTTCATTGAAGCCCCTTACTCTGCCACTATTATGGTCACCACTGCATTGAGGTATGTAGACGAATCACAATATCGATCAAGGGCCCTGGTGGTCTAGAGATTTAGCACACCGCTTTTCTTCCAACGGTACAGGTATTATTGAAGAATTAAAAATGAATTATTGTTAAATCATTAATATAAATTTCAATGTCGTATGAGGAGTAAGATGACGTATGACGTATGTATCGGTCTGGGTGTTTTCTATGTTTATTATATATGTGTTTACAAAAAAAGAATTCTAATAGTTGTCTAGTACCTCCCCTACCTGTCTGTCTAATCCGCCTTTTCAAATTGCTATTATCCTATTATCCTGGTCGAGAGGTATGAAGTTTTTGGGTAGTGAAGTAACGTGCACGTTCGTCTGAAAGATATACCAAATAAAGGTCCCAATAAAACAAGGAATATTATTATTTTAAATATTCCAGAGAAGATTACGACTCGAGCATTGGAAATGTGAAGGACTTTCTGATAAGGAATGAAGTGGATCCCATGATAAGGCAGCGCTTCATTACATATTTGCAATTATGTTGGTACATAGATAAGGTAAAGAAAATGTGTGTAACTAAATATTTTAATATGTAAAGGATTTTTTTACGGGATGATAGTAAAATGGTCCTATCTTCGCTAATGCTTTACGTTGGCGGAGAGTAATAAGAGAAGCACGAAGTCAGGTCAGTTAGCCCATCGTGGCAAATTCACCAGGGATTTAACATGGTGGTTTCCAGAGGAACTGCGTGGAGGTCAACCTTACATGGTACATTGTTAGCAATGGGATTATAACTATCCTCTTTCACCTTGAGCTAGCTTGTTGTGTGCATTAAATCTACTTATTTAAATTGAATATTATATGATAAAAATGATATGTATGTCTTTCGGTTGACGGTAAGATTAACTTGAATATTTTCAGGCCTATTCATTGGCGAATAAGAAAAAATCCATCTTCTACGACCTGCCTCCGCATGTGTACCAAGATATAGTGGCCAGCCAGCGGAGCAAATATCTTCTAACTGTTCCATTTATAAAGGTTTTCTGATTTACTTCTTACTCACGCTTATATACAGTCGCCTGCAAAGTTTTCTGCAAGTCGCCCGTCGTCGCGTAAGGCTTAATCGCATCAAAACTCTCTCGCGCGTCCTTGTTGACTGTTATATTGTGCAGTGATTGACACACCCTCAACTTTTCAACATTTCCCTCAATACCAGGACAACTCGAGCCTGGAGTCAACAGTACTGTTTTCTCAGAAGCCTAAGTGTACGGACTTTTACTTATGGTAAAGAAAACCCTCCAACTTATGGACATTCCAACCTCGCGGTTACACTGCCCGACTTAGCGCAGGAATGCGCGCTAAAAGCACACATTTTTTAAATTTGAATTTGAATATTCCTATGCTAGTTGGTGCCTGACTTTTTAATGCTGATATGATTCCTGTTAATATTTGTGCATGATTTGGTGGCGTGGTCTTCGATGTAGCACACCGCCTTACTTTCAATGGTCGTCGGTTCGATTCCTATCGCAGTGCAATCATTTGTGTGAAATCATTTTCATGAATATGATTGTATTGATTTGGGTGTTTTCTATATATATTATGTATGGACTTACAAAACGTAGTAATTTAAGTATTTTTATCAGTTGTCTAGTACCTGTAACGCAAGCTCTACTTAGCTTGGGGCTAGATGGCAGTGTATGAGTTGCATTTAGTTATTACTAAGATTATTTTAACAGCCCTGTTTTTCCTCCTCTTATGTTATTATCATTATGTAAGATTTCTGCATACCCACCAGGTTATATTAACCATATAGATTCAAGAATGAAACACCGAGTCACCGAAAAAACGACACTAGACAAGAAGTTTTTTTGCATTACTCTAATGCTGTTGGCCGCAGCTTACAGCTTCACCGGACTCGGGGCGAGTGGAGATGTGCACTCCAAACCCGCAGAAGGACTTATAGAGCGGCTGAAGGCCAACTCCCGCCTGCCGGATACGAGACAATAAGTGTATTCATTAAACTTACGAGACAGAAAAAAAATATAGTATAAATATAGGGTCTTATAAATAAGCAATTTCTAAAAACCTTTTACAGCTGCTCCATAAGGAAGACCTCAAGCACGTGTCGTCAGCGGCTCGACTGTTCTACACATCCCCCAACGAGATTCTTCTGAACACCGGCGATATTAGCTACGAAATGTTCGTCATCAAACAGGGCATTTGTGAGGTGGGTTTTCGTCAACGAAATACTAGATACCTTAGCAAATTGTGTACGTTCAACAGAGCGCGGGACTCTTGTCTTATTAGAAGTTAGTTGTAGTCGAAAGATATTATCCTCCTATCCTCTCCCTTCTGCCTCCTATCTCTTTCCTAATTCGTTCCTCTAACGCTCTACCCACTCCTTCTTTTCTAAAGATATTCTCTGTCCGCTTCCCTCCTATCCCGTTTCTAATTCTTTCTTCTACCTACTACTTCTACTTAGGTAAACAACTCACCGGCAACTCCCCTGTTGTTGCCAGTGCAGTGACTTTTCTTTCTCTAGCAGTGGCGTAATGTAACTTATTTAAATGTGTTTATTTAGGAAACTCTGAGGATTTCGGGACAGATGACTTTTTATGACATATTAATTTTCAATTAATAGCTCATATATGTAGTAATTAAATGAAAATTATTGTACATATTATATTATGTATATTATATTTGTTTTTAATTATTATGTTATGTAGTAATTAGTAAAATATTATTTTATTATTCACGATCCCTTATTTATTTCCAGATTTTTAATCCGTATACTAGACAAGCGGTTGGTTTTCTCGGTGTTAAAGCCCACTTTGGTGTCCTGGAATGCCTTTTACGTGAGTCAAATTTCGAATCTTATTTTTGAACAATGCTGGAAACACTGATAAAATAAATTATTGGTTTTATATAGGTATGCCCTTGAATGAAATGCCAATGAAAATGGCTCAGGGGTAGTGATGAAAATCTTACTTATAGGCATGTAATGCGTAGGAATGAAGATAATATTTTAAGGAAGGCGTTACATATGAATGTGAATGGTTATAACGGCACAGAAAGGCCGAAAAAGAGATGGGTGGACTGTGTGAAAGATGATATGGTTGGAGAGGGAGTAAATAACGAGATGATTACGAACAGTGATGAATGAAAGAGAAAAACATATTACGACGACCCTAAATAAATGGGATAAGGAAGAAGCAGATGATGACATTTCGAAAACTTATTAATTAAACTGGACTCTAATAGAGTTTGATGAACTCCAGGCTTGCCTGCTTACTACACCATCAGGGCCGTGACTCACGTGCAAGTATTCTCAATATCGAGGAAGGTGTTGTCCCGCGCCATCGAGATTCCGCAGATCAAAGACGCCATCGAGTTCGTCAAATCACAACCGGTACTTTTGAATAATTTTGGATTTCTATTTTCGTCTAACACTTCCATGCCGCCTAAATGCAATGGTTGCGGATTTTTTAACATTTGTATTTAGATTGTTTGTATCAGTCAGGGTGTTGTGTGAATTGTCTAGAGATATTATTATTATTTTATATGAGCCGGTCAATGCAGACTCATACAAAATTATAAATCTAGTCTCAAGCTAAGCAGAGTTTGTATGTTATGGGTAGAATAGACTACATATTGTTTTTGGTATACTTAATATATATAGAAAACACCCAGACCAGAATACGACAATCATACTCATGAATACAAATGTTTGCACCGTGCGAGGATTCGAACCTGCAACCATCGGTAGTAAAGCGGTGTGCTAAACCGCCAGAACACCGGGTTGTAGCGCTGTGTGTGTTGAGATTATTTATTCATAACTTAAGAGCTGCGCTCTTGTCGGTGAAGCTTTTGCCACTTACCGCGATCTTTCATCATGCTCTGTAAATGTTCGTACGACACGACTCCCATTTGCTTGATGTAGCTGTGCCTTGGTCTTCCCCTCCGCCTCTTTCCTTCTATTTTTCCCTCTACAATTATTTTCAAAAAATTATCCTGCCATATCAAGTGACCTAATATATTTCATTAAAAAAATATTGCATTTGCAAGGAATACACCGCTTGTTGATGGCCCGCGAGTCATTCCTCTGGTATGAGCCACCCAGCCCGGCGCCGAACATTGTACAATTCCCACTGCCCAAGAAATACGAGATGGATAATGAATACCTGCATCCCTTTAAAAGACTGGGATTCTTGTCAATACTAAGGTCACATTTTTATAACAATTTAGGTATTTTAGCTCTTTTAATTTGAACAGTTGCAATTGAATCCGATTATCGTAGATTTTAAGTGGTGAAACGCGTAAAAAGTCGTCTGCGAGAGAAACTATTTTGATGCTGGTGAATGAGCCATTTCACCGTTGAGGGATTATTACTTATGTGGACTAATAACCCTGGACGCCATTTACTTTTAATGTTATATATATATATATATATATATATGTATATAGCAAGTATTATAAAATAAATTACTGGTGAATTTGTCACGATACAAACTGACCTGACCTCATGCTCATCTTATCGTCCTCCACTAGTGCCCCGCCAGCGTAAACCGTCATCGCAGGAGGGTGCACCGTTGCATTATCATGTATAAAAAATCCGTTGTACAGATACATGTTCCCCCGGTTCTCGATCCGTCCGGACGGCCGGTATTTGGTGAGGTACGAGTGGTTCCGTGCGTGGTGCGCGCTTTGTTCCGCGATGGTGTTCCCCAGCTACTCGTACCTGTTGCTGCAGTGGCCCTCGCTCTACTTCTTCACCTGGCTGCTTGATCTCTCCGCTTATTTTGATATGTATGTTTCCTGTTTGATTATAATAACCCCTTTTTCCATCATAAGGAATAATGTACTAATATTAATAATACCTGAACAATTCATACGGCAATCTAGTTCCAAGGAAAATAAAGCTTGTTATGAGTACTATACAATTGATATAAATATATATATGTTTTGTTTTATTCCTTGTATATCCGTAATCAGTAGGTGTACTATAATCAGATTGGTTGGTAAATAAGTATGCAAGTCTGCAGTCAGTAGTGAGTGCACGACTTTTTATTTTAATGATGCCTCCGGCGCTATGTTAAGATTTCAGGACCTGGAGTACACTTTATCTAACTCCAGTATTTGTGTCATTTTCAGGCGTTTTGGGGTGTTATTAACAGGTAACCTGTGGGCTAGATCATTAGGGTGTATACTCAGCTGAGCCTTATATTTAGAGCTTGTGCTTTGTGCAAGCTCCTTACGTAATGTAGTAAATTCGAGAAATAATGGATGTCCGAGTTAGTTATAAACAATGGTGCCGTAAAAATGGGTGATCTGGAACCATTGGAGAATTTAAATGTTGGAGCTACTAGCACTTCCTAATCCCTATATACATATGTACATATTACAGGTAGAAGACACAGACCGATATAAACAATCATACTCATGAATACAAATGTTAGTGCCGTGCGAGGAATTGAACCCGCGACCATCGGAAGTAAGGCGGTGTGCCAAACCGCTAGACCACCTAGGCTGTCAAATGACGTCTGGATACTTTAGACTCTAAAGTGGTTTAAAATTGACCAGCCTTCAGCGTATGCTGGTTGGTTACTACAACGAGCAGGGTATCCTGGTGTACCATCCTTCAAGCACTGCAGCACACTACTTGAAAGGTGCCTTCATCGTGGATCTCTTCTGCTCGTTACCTTTGGAGTACCTTGAAGTGCCTGGAAGGGAATCATTCCGTAAATATTCCTTTTTTTGTATACTTCGATGGTGGCAATCGAGCATACGGTTCATGTTCATTACGATATTCTAAAAAAAGGACCACGAAAGTGGGAACCATCCGAAAACCTTCATGACCTATATTCATTACGCGGTACCTTAGGATGAAGCAGCAGCGCTAATACGAGACCGTCCCTTGGAGAGAATCTTCGAAGGTGATTCCTTGATTCTAATCTTAATTAATATTATTTTAGGAATTATTTACCATAAGTTCTCTATAACAGGTTAGCAGTAGAAAGGATCGGTAGGGAAAAATATTAATAAAAACTTTGGAATTCATCATCATCATCGCAGCCCGGTGGACGTCCACTGCTGGACATAGGCCTCCCCCAAAGATCTCCACGACGATCGGTCCTGCGCTGCTCGCATCCAATGCCTTCCAGAATTCCTTGAGATTCATAAGCGGCTATAATTTTCTTTTATACCACGTAGGTGTCAAAACAAGCATACGGCCCATCTGATGGTAAACGGTTACCGTAGCCTATGGACGCCTGAAACATCAGGGGTGTCAAGTGCGCGTTGCCAACCCTTAAGAAACCTTAACATACCCTTTTTAAAAAACCCGATCCTAAATGAATAAATTATTTTTATTTGATTTGATCATTTACCATCGACTGTCAGTTGGCTTACCATTCATTATATAAAATAATGACAGAGGACAAAGTACCGCTTGACACAAACACGGCAGTTCCTGATGCTGAACCGCCTCCTGCAGCTGTACCGCCTGCCCGGCGCCATGCTCACGCTCTCCGGGTACATCGAGAGGAGAGACATCCTGCTTGTGTAAGACATTTTTGATTAACTGAATCCTGGACAACATTTGTATTCACACACTTAAACTTAAAAATGTCAAGTAATAATAAAATTATTTAAAAGAGTAAACACGCAAGTTTCTTGCTCGTTCTTATAGTGATGAGACAGCTTTCCGAATGAGCGGTAGATTAAAAACTATGTTATGACTATTCAAAAGTGCTTCAATGTAAGTTTATTTGTTTTTTTTTTTTATTTTTTGAAAACCAACAGCGAAATACAAATTATATGTACTTAAAAATAAGGTTACTTAAAGGTTTTCTCACAATTGCAATATTTAGTATACAGTATTACAACACTAAAGTATTAACATATTATTGTTCTGTTTATCCACAAGTCTAATTTATACAATATAATGCTTATACAATCTAATTTATGCAAATTTTACTAGTTTCTTACTACGAAGTAACAATTTTGTAGCATTAGATTTAAATGTTACCTTTTTTAAGCTGAATATATCGAATCGAAATTTGAATAAATGATTTTCTATTCTATTCTATTTATTTAAATTTAAAAGCTGTTTCTTGCTCGTTCTTCGATGATACACATTTCTGATTGGGTGGTAGAATAAACAATATGACTAGTGCTTATATTCTTCCTAATAGTAAAGAGAGCTTATATTTATATTATATGAACACATTACACATTTACATTACAGTAATAAAAGGTTACGTAACAATAACAAACTGATTTTACCTAAATATTGTTTAACTAAAGTTAGTTATTCGTTTTATGGTAATCAAAATATGACTATTCAAAAGTGCTTGTAATGAGTTTATTTGAATAAAGATTATTTCTATTCTATTCTATTCATGAAGCAATTTGTAAATATAATAAAATTACCTGCAAATTAATGTACCACAAAGTTAGCAATAAAGATATATTCTATTCTGTTCTAAACATATAATGGTGCAGCATCAAGGCCATCCCTCTGTTCTTGAGCTTGCTGAACGTGCTGACGTGCTGCGTCGTCTTCTACTCCGTGAACATATTCAGCTCTATGGATGATACCCAGTGTCTGATCGTACCGCTCGAGGACAAGGGTGGTTCCTGGATAAACCTGTTCAGCAAGTCATGTGAGTTGAGTCTTGTAAACTAACGACCCTCTTCGGTTTTGCAAGGATGCATTATAGATCTTTGAAATTTTCATTTTGTTCTATAAATAACACACATGTATCATAATTATAAATCTTCCTCTTGAATCACTCTATCTATTGCTAGAAATTGCATTAAAATCCGTTGCGTAGTTTAAAAGATCTAAGCTACCAGACAGTGGAAGCGACTTTATTTTATAATTTGTAAAGAAGATTAATATATATTTATATTATTTTGTTTAATTCTACTTTGGTCTCACAAGCTAATGGTAGCACCATTAGCATGTGAGACCAATGTTAACGGCTCGCCGGAGAGGCTTTCAAGCTAAATCTGAACTATGTTTTGACCAATGAGTGCAGTTTAAGCAGTGATATTACTGGATAAGAGGCATGACATCTCAGTCGTCTCGAATAGCAACGTCTCAGTTGTATCACCGAAGTCACATGATAAAGATTAAGTTGTGAAATTACAGGATAAGTGGCATGACATCTTAGTACTCTCTAATGGCAAAGCATCACTTGTATAACGTGATAACGTGAATGTTCACGTATATACGCAAAAGTTACCACTTACCATCACATGGACCGTAAGTTTGTTTGCCATTCTTCGTCATTAAAACTATTCCGTTTTACTAGTTTGTTTCAACGTGATGGTTGGCAACGCATGAGTTGTATCACCGATGTCACATGATAACGTGACCGTAGTATAATTGTATATATGCGACGGTTACCACTTACTATCAGGTGGACTGTCAGCTTGTTTGCAATTACAATTGTATGGTAAGGCTATACGATATATTTGTTCTATATTTTACTAGTTCGTTTCAACGTGACGGAGACGCCGTGGAATCTCCACCTGGCGTCGTACTTCTGGGTGGTTTTTGAGACCACCACCACTGGGTACAACAGCCTCAACCCGAGCAACTTCCATCTCATGCGGGTTTTGTACATTGGAATGGTCATTGGTTAGTATTGGATGTTTCGAGTCTGGAAGTAGAGGGGATGAGTTTTTAAGGGTAAAAAAAGGGTTTATCTCGATTTACGGATAACTATAAGTCCTATAGAAAATTGTAGGTAAGGCTGTCCACCACAACCTTACCTACAACCTTACCTAATTTTCTATTCTTTTATTGTTTTTTTTATTCCATTAAATATTTACGGTTTATTCCGAAGATATGCCACATCGGTGCAACAATAAATAATATCTAAAGAATGATACATCTGTTTCTTTAATGCCAACTCTGACTATATTGATAATTTTGATGGCCACTTCAGATAATGTTATTGAGAACATTATTTTTTTTCACAGCGCCATCTATACCCATGTTAAGCTAGCTAAAGCTTGTGTTATTGGTACCAGATAACTGATACATATACATAGATTTTTTTTTTCGTAAATACATACCTATTACACATAGAAAACACCCAGACCATCATACTCATGATTACAAATGTTAGTGCCGTGCGAGAAATCGAACCCGCGACCATCGGTCGTAAAGCGGTGTGCTAGACCGCTAGACCACCGAGGTCGTCAAACTATTGCAGAGGCCGATGCCGTATAGAAGGTATCAATTTGCGCCACATAAATACATTTTATAAGTATATTAATTAGAAATAATGTTAACAAAGGAGGACTTATCTCTAAAAGATATCTCTTCCAGTCAACTCATTACTGCGTGGCATAGGAAGTGTTGAGTGGGTCAAATTGTGCAAATAATAATTTAATAAAAATGTCATAAATAATTACAACTAAACATGAAAATATAATGTGGTGTGTGACTAGATGTGGTAGGTAAAAAGATCTACAATTTTTCTATTTACATTTTTTATAAAAGATTAGTAAATACAAAAGATTATTCAATTAAGCAAGTTTTTACTATCATTTTTGTTATATTATCTCCTTCTTCCAATGGGTTTCATGACTTTTACGATTATTATCTTTGGTTTCAATTATCGACTCTATACAAGTATATTATTAAAAAATAATAGCCGATTCTTCAATGATCTATTTTTTTTAATGGCATCCTGTGATTATGTGTAAATACTAGCTTTTGCCCGCGGCTTCTCTCGCGTTAATTTATCCCCTTAGGGGTGAAATTTATCAAAATCCTTTCTTAGGGGATGCCGACGTCATAGTAGATTTTTGCATGCAAAGTCTCAGCCCGATCGGTTTAAAATTGACAAAGTTTCATACAAACTTTCATCCCCTATTTTATCCCCTTGGGAGTAGAATTAATCAAAATCCTTTCTTAGCGGATGCCTACGTCATAACATCTACCTGCATGCTAAATTTCAGCCCGATCCGTCCAGTGGTTTGGGCTGTGCGTTGATAGATCACTATGTCAGTCACCTTTGAGTTATACATATATATTTAGATTATTAAAGAAAATTGTTTGCATTAATGTAACCTCCAGGTGCAATGATGACGACGTACTTCTCTGTGCGCATCATCAGCATCAGAGGTAACGTGAACACGCTGCTGGCCGGCTTCCAGCACCATATGACGGATATGATCGTGTTTATGCGCCGAGAGAACATACACCCCGCCCTGCAGAAGTATGTTCATATTGTATTATTCATCTACTATATTAATAACAAACTGATTTTACCTAAAAGACGTTTGGCTAAAGTTAGTAATTCGTTTTATGGAAATTGCGTAAGGTTTTACAATAAAATACCAGAGTCTGTTATAAATCTGCCAGGAAAAAAGATTTAAATGTCAAATAAAACAGTTCCTTTGCAAAAAAGCTTACTATAAAATTGAAGAATTCGTTAACGATAATAATGTTTTTATAGAAAAACTTTAAATATATAGCACTGACAATATTATCTGATTACATTAATAATGAGTGCGTAGCGACTTCTATGTCTATGACATTATATGTATATCGCATGCCTCTTACTTGTTATACTGTAATTATTTATATAAAAAAACATCTATTAAAAAGAGCAACACATAAGTTACTTGCTCATTCTTCTTGTGATGAATCTGTATTCCGAATGAGTGGTAGAATCAAAATATGACTATTCAAAAGTGCTTGTAATGAGTTTATTTTAATAAAGATTATTTCTATTTCTATTTCTACTTCATTGACAAATATATAAAATTAATAAACACTTTCTTTATAAACAAGCTTATTAAACAATTGAAGCGTGTTTTTGTACAAAAATACTAATTTAAAATTAATAGCACTGACAATATTATCTCATTGCACAAAGATTGAGTGCGTAGCAGTTTCTATGTTGATTATCGCATGCCTTATCCTTGTTAAGTTTGTTATTAAATACACATTGTGTTAATATTTATTTAAAAAAGCAACACGCTTCCTGCTCATTCTTCTTGCGATCAGTCTGTGTTCCGAATGAGTGATAGAATTAAAAATATATGACTTCAAAAATGCTTATACTAAACTTATTTTAAAAAAGATAATTGGTATTTCTATAGTAAAATGTAAATAATAATGATAGTAATATCTCATGACAATATCACAGCGCCATCTAAACCCAAGCTAAGTACAGCTGACTGACTGACTGGGTCGTCTGCTGGTCTGTTATGGACCGCTGGGTGCCTCAAGACTAAGCTCAGTGTCCGAGCATTCTGCTGGGGTGAACCACCCAGCGCCATCGGCCGGAAGCCGGCTACTTTTCAGCAGCCGGCTGTGGGTGTCATGTGGCGGGATTCATCTAAGCAAAACTTGTGTTATGGACCGGGTCGATGTGCTCCCTCTAATATGGTTGAGTGCAATGATGGCTGGCTCATCCATCATACTCGTGAACGGGTGCTGCTTGTAGGGACTGGTTTGTTTGGGTTGCGAACACTAATTTGACTATTTGCTTTTGCAATAGCATATGCTGGTGGTCACTCTATTCTCCCAAATTTGAATTTAAATGAATCTGTATTATGGTTAACATGTACAACATTTATTTGAAAAGAATACGAGCTGAATTTCTTGTCGGTTCTTCTCATCTTGAAATCATTCCGAACTGACGGTAAATTTGATATATTATAAGAGTCTGTAATAGACCTACATGAATAGAGATATTTTTAATTTAAATTTGAATTAACTAACAATTTATGTTTTCTTGTAGAGTAGTTCTGGACTACTATGAATACAATTGGGACAAAACGGGCGGAGTGGATTACAGGAATGTGCTCAAAATGTGCGATCAAATCACACTGCGCACTGACACCATCCTTCATATCTACGGACCAACATTCGCAAAGGTTATCTCTTAATATATAAAATACTCCTAATGCAATCTTTGTAACAAATTTCCGCCAAAAAATAAACGCTGTTTAAAAAAAATTGGGCCTGGACCACTTTTTTTTAATAGATGATAATGAAATGAGCCCCCGCCTGCGCTACCGGTTTACGCTGGCGGGGCATCAGTGGAGGATGATAGGATGAACATGAGGTCAGTTCAGTTATGGCATCGTGAGAAATTCACCAGGAATTTATCACGATGGTTTCCAGGGGTAACCGCTTGGAGGCCAATCTGACATGGTACATTGCTAGCAATGGGTTCAATATACATTATATTACAATCCGATTCCCCCTTTGTCCTGGACCACGTAGCGTTAGGACTACGCTACGTGGTCTTCAGATCTCTGAATATAACTAGATCTAAAAATAGGACTACGGAGTGGACCACTCTTATCATTTAGGATAAGAGTGGTCCAAACCCATTTTTTTTTTAACTAGCTGTGCCTGCCACTCATAGAGGATGAATACAATTTCTATTTCATCTATTTATAATAATACTCCCTTAAGGGTAAAATTCGTACAAACTTTGAATGTCATATTGATAGTCAAAATCTTAAAAAATAAGTTTCAAGCTTCTTGCTTTAAAAATTATGATACTTCCATACAACGTTTCATCCCCTCTTTCAAGCACTTACAACCCTTTTTACACAACAAATAATAGTTTACGTCCTTTCTCAGGGTCTAGACTATCTGTATACCAAATATTTTAATCGTAGCAGTAGTTTTCGCTTGAAAGCGAGACAAACAGACAGACAGAGAGATTTACTTTCGCATTTATAATATTAGTAAGGAGTAAGGATTATATTACGGTAAAATTTCGATCATTTGGTACTATAATTGTTCAGTGCCCGTTCCTGGTGAACTGCGACGTGTCGTTACTGAGGAACCTGGGGCGCGCGGTGCGCAGCGTGTACCTGTTGCGGGATATGGTCCTCGTGGAGCCGGACGACGTGGTCTCCGACATGTACTTCGTGGACTACGGCCGCCTGCACGTGCGGGAGACCAGCGCAGTTGGCAGCACGCTCTGCGAGCTCACCAGGGGCAGGTCAGCATTTAATACAGGAAAATAATGGAAAGGTTACATATGAATGTGGATGGTTATAAGGGCAGAGGAAGGCCGAAAAAGAGATGGTTGGACTGTGTGAAAGATGATATGGTAAGAAAGGGAGTAAATAACGAGATGACTGCGAACAGGGATGAATGGAAGAGAAAAACATATTACGCCGACCCCAAATGGGATAAGGAAGAAGCAGATGATGACTTTACAAAAACTTATTAAATAATCTGGACTCTAACAGAGTCTCATGAACTCCAGGCTTGCCTGCTTACTACACTATCAGAGCCGTGACTCACGTGCAAGTATTCTCAATATCGAGGAAGTTGCTTTCCCGCGCCATCGAGATTCCGCAGATCAAAGACGATGTCTGTATGCATTTACTGAAAATAAATAAAGAAAGAAAGAAAACATTTATTGATAACAGTTGCATTCGACACTCATCATATGCCGTGGCAACTAATTGTCTCGGCGCTATTCTGTCAGCTATTAGTGACAACACAGATGACTCGGTGTCTCTGTGCCTTTACCCTTCGATAGCCGTAAGGACAAACAGCTACGACATTACTATGTGTACTAGCTACAAGATGAAAGTGTGCTAATATATGTCCACATCTGGTTCGTACAGCGTGGTGGGGAACATTGAGGGTACCTCGAGCGCCCGTAGCCGCGTGTCGGTGGTGGCTGGCTGCCGCACGCACGTGCTGCAGATCAGCGCCGCCGCCTTCAGACACATCGTCGCTGACTTCCCCTCAGTACTGGCCCTCATTGACAACCACAGGGCCAACAATCCGGTCAGCTGTTATTTATACTTCCTCCACATATATGAAAATGAAAAAATGTTTATTTCTTTAAAGAAATAATTCGATTACAATAGCACAGTGTTGATATAATGTGATATATCGTCACGTCTTTGAATAAGATCCGTACAGTCGTAAAATGACAACAAGCACACAATCGCATAATTGCTATCTACACAGACCTACACATACAAACACTCCTAATCAAAAACATGGATTACACACATTTTTCTTAATTTTTCTTGTATACTTAATATTTTGATTTCATTTTCTATATTTAATATTCTGTACAATTCAGTTTTTCTCTACAATTTAATTTTTTTTATTTTATATTTAAAAATATATCATCATCATCTGTTCTTCCTTATCCCATTTATTTGGGGTCGGCGTAATGTTTTTCGCTTCCATTCGTCCCTGTTCGCAGTCATCGCGTTATTAAAAAAATATATATGTATTTTTTTTATTCCATCTATACACAAATACCTGATAATGTGCCTGAAATGTTTATAGTATCACAGATAACATAACGTTACCATTTTTTATACAACGTTTATTCTCTTAAAGCTGATCTGAATTCATACAACCATCCTCCAGTCTTCCCTGATATCAAGCATATTCTTTTACGTGTGAATGCCGATTCACGCCTGAAAGAGCGTAAAGAGTGTAAAGGCAGCTAATAGGAAATATAAACTGACATATATATTTCGTGTCAGGCAAATTTGAACCTTACCTAGAGGGTAGAAATCTTTAGCCCAAGAAGTTCTCGGTATACACACTTTTACACACGTTAACATTTGCAGAACTACATCGCCGGTAGTTCCGACTCCATGCGGAACTTACGAGACCGCAGCGTGAGCTCGCCAACTGTGATACGAAGTCGCAAAGGCCTGATAAAGCACCTTTACTTCAAAGACAAGTCGATCCAAATGTACCTCATAATAGTCTCCATGCTTTGCATCTACATGGATGTATACAACGCGGGGTTCCAAAATAACAGCCTCCTGGTGATTTTGTTGCTATATGCGCTCGACTTGGGGTTCTCTGTGAAGATATTGATGCAGTACTCACTGCCTTATATCGTGGAGTCAGCGCATTTGAGAAAGATACTACTGCCGCTGAGGAATGCGTAAGTTTAATGCAATCTTGGGGTCATCCGGAAATTCTGTCACACTTATTTCATGATATTTTTTGCAAATTATAATATAAAAAATTTGACGTTCATAAGCGGCTAAAATGTCCTACATGAATAATGATTTCTTTATATCTTATATATAAAATTCTCGTGTCACAATTTTCGTTCCCATACTCCTCTGAAACGGCTTGAGCGATTCTCATGAAATTTTGTGAGCATATTGAGTAGGTCTGAGAATCGGCCAACATCTACTTTTCATCCCCCTAAATGTTAGGTGTAGTCCAACCCTAATTTTTTTATTTTATTTTAAGGCAAAACAACGTTTGCCGTGATAGCTAGTATCACATAAAACTCTGTTTATAAAATAATACTTTACAATAGTATTATTACCCCGCAACGATACACTATTGCAGATATTTTAGAAGCGAATTCAAATACGACATACTGTCGTGTGTCCCCATCGAGGTGTTTAGCTTGCTTGCGACCAGGCATCGCTGGATGTTGTTCTCTTGGTTGAGACTCAACAGAATGTTCAGGATTGTAAGTACCTTTATTGCTATATAGGTATACTATATTATTATTAAAACTTATGTTAATATCTACATTAATATTTTATATATATGTACCGGAAATTAATGAATTGACAATGTTGTCGCCTTTCGCGACAATTATTTCGACTTCATCCAGACTTGTTTGTCCTTGCCATCGTCGTAGAATGAATAAAAATCTTTTTCAGTTGTTCTAGAAGACAAAAACTTGTTTCCACCGCGCAAGTGTTTAGATTTGTTGCGACTTTAGTCTGAGGACACCGCTAGGGGTTCGAATCTCGGCTCAGGCCGCCGTAATTTCGATCCCCGTTGGAATTAGACATTGGACCGATCGGAGCGGACCAACATGCGTTGCCATTTCAGTACTACCCAATCATGTAGGTAACTGTACACAAGTGCCTGAAGCGTCACCACGAGCGGCTGACCATCAACCTGACGCTGAGCACCGTGTTCTCGGTGCTGATCTGGTTCACACTATTCGTGCACACCACCGCCTGCCTCTGGTACTACATAGGGGTAATGGAAGACGAGATCAAGCCGCGATCCTCTTGGATGTACAACAGTTAAGTATAATGGGCATATTATATATAGTAACTAACTTTTACCCGCGGTTTCGCTCGCATTTTTTTTAGAAAAGTAAGCTATGTTCATTCTATGCTCCAAGAACATGTGTAGAAATTTTCATGAAATTATTTATTATTCACAACGGTTATTTTAATATTACAAACAGACACTCCAATTTTATTAATATGTATAGATTGTCAAATTTATCAGAATTATTGTTGTTATTTGAAAAAGCCTGTCAGTGGCTTAGTGTTTTTGTGTGTCAGCCTTGGTTTTCTGTTAATCTATACATATATACATAAAAATTAAATGGGAGTGTCTGTTTGTAATATTTAAATAACCGTTGTTTACTAAATGCATATGAATATAAATAAGGTACATACACCAAAATAACATATTCCACAATTTTTGTCTCATCTCTGAAATAGCTGGGCCGATTTTGACGGGACTTTTTTTGGCAGGTAGCTGATGTAATAGGCTACTTTTATTTTAGAAAAATAATGTTAAGTTCCACGCGGACGAAGTCGCTTGTATAGCTAGTAAATAAATAAAATAAATAAAATAAAAAAAACTTGTAATGTTTGTCAGATGCTGGAGGCAGTTGGTGTCACAATTACTATATCTGCTCGGTGTATTTTGTTCTGACCACATTCACACAAAATGGCGTCGGGGACATTATGCCCAAGAAGCAGTCAGAGGTGAACACTTTATTTATACACAATGGTGGTAAAACATACGGCCCGCCTGATGGTAAACGATTACTGTAGCCTATAACCGCCTAACAGACCAGAAATGTTACGTTCGCGTTGCAAATGTGACTACTTTAATTTATTCCTACACAAATGGGTAAAACATACGGCTAGTCTTGATGGTAAATGGTTACCGTAGCCTATAACCACCTGACAGACCAGTAATGTCACGTACGCGTTGCAAATCTGACCACTTTAATTTATTCCTACACGAATGTGGTAAAACATACGGCCCGCCTGTTGGTATACCATAGCCTATAACCGCTGATAACCAGAAATGTCAACTGTATGTTGCAAATCTGACTAGTGTCAAATATTGATATTAATATAAGAAGAGAAGAAGATAAGAAAGTGAGTTCATTAGTTTGTTACTCTTTCTTACCTTAGTAACTTTTGGATGTAATCTATGAAATTTTACATATATATAGCAACATATTGTACTAATGTCTTTACCGATGGTGTCGACAAGGCACAATTTTTTTGTAATCTGAGTATGTTTGTTTGTAACGCGGTTTTCCACCTATAATATGTATGTATTTACGAAAAAAGAAAATTATGTATTTATATATATATATATATATAATCTTGGCCTCGGTGTTCCAGTCCAGGGTTATATAGGCTTACATTTTTGCTCGATAGTCGCGGACTACTCGATTCCTGGCACGTTGCAAACATTTGTATTCATGAGTATGATTATTTGTATCTGGGTGTTTTCTATGATAAATATATTATTATACATCACATACATATGTATATATATATATATATATATATATATATATATATATATTTGTATCAGTTGTCTTAGTACACATAACATAAGATTGAGATTAGTAGAGAGAGAGATAGAGAGAGCAGAGATATTTGCTCTGCTACGTTGGGACTAGATGGCGCTATGAAAAAAATATTCAATAATTTAAATAGCAAAAGAACTACATTTTGCTCTGAAATGAACGTTGCCATCCTTTAATTTGGACTACTCAAATAATGAAAAAAAATATTCAATAATATAATACAAAAAAGCAAAGAACTTTCATCTTCCTAACGTCGGACGTTGCTAGGGTGACCGAGTGCAGAATTACATTGAACAATAATGAAAAAATATTCAATAATATAATACAAAAAAGCCAAAAGGACTTTCATCATCCTAGCGTCGTAAATGAACGTTGCTAGGGAGACCGCCTGATGAATTACATTAAAATAATGAAAAAATATTCAATAATTTACAAAAAAAGCCAAATGAACTTTCATATTAGCGTCATAAATGAATATATGACCGATATATATACACAAATAATGAAAAATATTTCAATAATATAATCTAAAAAAGCCAAAAGAACTTTCATCATCCTAGCGTCGTAAATGAACGTTGCTAGGGTGACCGGAAGAATTACATTGAAAATATTGATGCAATAATATAATCAAAAAAGCCAAAAAAACTTTTATCATAGCGTCGAATGAACGTTGCTAGGGTGAATGTGAATTACATTGAGCAAATATTGAAAAAATTTTCAATAATATAATACAAAAAAGCCAAAAGAACTTTTATCATCCTAGCGTCGTAAATGAACGTTGCTAGGGTGACCGACTTCAATGAATTACATTGAGCAAATATTGAAAAAAATATTCAATAATATAATACAAAAAAGCCAAAAGAACTTTTATCATCCTAGCGTCGTAAATGAACGTTGCTAGGGTGACCGACTTGATGAATTACATTGAGCAAATATTGAAAAAATTTTCAATAATATAATACAAAAAAGCCAAAAAACTTTTATCATCCTAGCGTCGTAAATGAACGTTGCTAGGGTGACCGACTTTAATGAATTACATTGAGCAAATATTGAAAAAATATTCAATAATATAATACAAAAAAGCCAAAAGAACTTTTATCATCCTAGCGTCGTAAATGAACGTTGCTAGGGTGACCGACTTTAATGAATTACATTGAGCAAATATTGAAAAAATTTTCAATAATATAATACAAAAAAGCCAAAAGAACTTTCATCTTCCGTCGTAGCGTCGTAAATGACGACTTTTCATACAAACTTTCATCCCCTATTATTTTACCCTCTTAAGGGTAAAACATTTACAAACTTTGAGTGTCATGTTTATTTATATTTAATGAACAGACTAAAAAAGTTTCAAGCTTCTTGTTTAAAAATAACGATACTTTCGTACAAATTTTTATTTCTCCTTTCAACCCATCTGTTTATTGTATTAAAATTGGAGTGTCTGTTTGTAATATTGATATAACCGTTTTTTACTACATGCATATGAAATATGAATATAAATACGTTACATACACCAAAATAACATTTTTTACAATTTTTGTCTGTCTGTTTGTCGGTCTGTTTATACCGGCTAATCTCTGAAATGGCCGGATCGATTTTTGACGGGACTTTTTTTGGCAGGTAGCTGATGTAATAACGAGTAACGTAGACTTCGTCCGCGTGGAATTTAACTTTATATCGACGAAGTCGCGGGAACAGCTAGTTATCAATATAAAAAATTTAAGCCAGTACAATATACGTACTACATTTAGTAACTCTATAATATAGTAGTTACTCTATATATACATATATAGTACTATCAACTAAATAGAGCTTGAGTTATGGATATTACTTATTACAAATTAAACTTAAGGGTCCGCAACGCGCACGTGACGTTCTCGACCAAATACTCCAATAGATTACTGCTATTGAGTAAAAGCAACATATGCATGATGACTAGGGCCCTCACAGGACACTGCAAATTGAACAAGCATATGGCTAAGCTAGGCCTATGCACGACAAGTATCTGCAGATTCTGCCAAACTGAAGAGGAAACGCCGCTTCACATCCTATGTGGTTGTAGCCCACTCATGCATAAACGAAATATCTCCTTTGGAAAGTTTACACTCTTTCCCGAGGAGATAAAAACGATCGCTCCTAAGAATATCCTTCAATTCTTGTCCCTGACGGGTCTAGGTAGCGAACTCAGAAAAGGGCGAGCACAATAGATCTATGTAGGTCGCAGTGCTACAGGTGCTACACATCTGACAATAGCCCAAACAATCCAATAAAAAAAAAATAACGCGCACGTGTACCCTTCGTGTTTCAGGCGTCCATAGGCTACGGTTACTACTACCGTGGTACTAACCGTTTACCATCAGATGGGCCGTAAGCTCGTTTACCACCGGCGTACTATAAAAAGAAATCTCAAGACAATTCACACAGCGCCATCTAGTGGGTCTAGATGGCGCTTAAGACGGAGTTAAGCTAGCTTATGTTATGGGCACTACACAACTGATAAAAATAACATAGAAACCACCCCGACCGATACAAACAATCATACTCATGAATACAAATGTTTGTACCGTGCGAGGGATCGAACTTGCGACTATCGGAAGTAAAGAAGTGTCTTAAACCGCTAGATCACTGATAAATCAATTAAAAGTTCAGGACATCCTAATTAAATAGGTAAAGTTGGCAACCCTAGTTGTGAGGGCGTGTCGAAACCTCGTGAACTTCTTGAACGGCTGCCAACCAGCATGCCGCTCGCATCGCGTACTTATTATGATTTTCATAATTTCCGTTGCGCAAACCACTTGAAATTCATTTATAGATCCACTGAAGTCCGGAACATGTCTGATCGTTGATTCTGACCTTGTTGGTGTAATAATAATAACCCTGAGTGGGAAAGAGAAATGTTAGTAATGTGAATTGATCATATTGCTAGCTATGTACTAACTAGGTTAACTTCCACGCGGTTCCCCCTGGAAACCATTGTTAGAAAGAAAGAAATAATCATTATTCAAATAAACTTAATATAAGCACTTTTGAATAGTCAAGTTTTTTTATTCTACCGCTTATTCGGAATGCAGATTCATCACAAGAAGAATAAGCAAGAAACTTGTGTGTTGCTTTTAATAAATATTTATTTATATATATTTAATTAACAACAAGGATTAGGCATCCGATAATCAACATAGAAACCGCTACGCACTTAATCTCTGTTCAATCAGATCTATAAGAAGAACCCTTGAGACCTCTTGAGTTTCTTGTCAGTTCTTCTCATCTCGAAATCATTCCGAACTGACGGTAGATTTGACATATCATAAGAGTTTGTAATAAACCTACATGAATTAAGATATTTTGAATTTGAATTTGAATTTTTGAATTTGAATTTGTCTGAAATAGATAACACAAAGGTACGCAGACCACTTTTTAATCCTTCCTTGTTCTTCACCAGGTGGTTTTCGTGTCCATTCTTCAGATAATATCAACTATGGTGTACATGGTGTACGTGGGTGAATTCTCCAACATCATTCAGTATCAGTCATTTAGATCTGTCAGTTTCTACTGCAAATATTTAGAGTTGCAGGTACGCTGTCTTAATTTTTTTGTACTAGCTGTACACGCGACTTCGTCCGCGTGGAATATAAATTAATTTTTGTAAAATTTACATTAGCTATTTGCGAAAAAAGTCCTGCCAAAATCGGTCCAGCCATTTCAGAGATTAGCCGGAACAGACAGACAGACAGACAAAAATTGTAAAAAATATTTGGTGTTTGTACCGTTTTTATATTCATATGCGCGTAGTGAAACACGATTATTTCAATATCACAAACTGACTCTCCAATTTTATTTATATGTATATATGTATAGATAAACAAAACACAGTAATAAATATATGTTTTCATTTTAATGTCTTTCAAATTATATATTGAGCTGTTTTGAGGGTATACCCTGGATATTAGGATGAGAGTAAAGGGAGTTAACATTCGTGGCGAATTCACTAGTAAATAACGAAATAGTTGACGCTGTAGCGGTTTAGTGGTTTAGCAGACCGCCTTAATTCCGATGATCGCAGATTCAATTCCTCGCACGGTACAAACATTTGTATTCATCAGTATGATTGTTTGTATCGGTCTGAGTGTTATCTATGTATATCATGTTTAGCACATAGCCATACTTGGTATCCGATGGTCGCGGGTTCGATTCCTCGCACGGTATAATCATTTGTATTCACGAGTATGATTGTTTGTATCGGTCTGAGTGTTTTCTATGTATATCATGTTTAGCACATAGCCATACTTGGAATGCGATGGTCGCGGGTTCGATTCCTCGCACGGCACAAACATTTGTATTCATGAGTATGATTGTTTGTGTTGGTCTGGATGTTTTCTATGTATAATATGTATGTATTTACAAAAATATATATCTATGTATTTGTATCAGTTATGTAGTATCCATAACATAAGCTCTAGGTGGGTGTTTTCTATATATATATTGTTTATGTATGTATGTATGTAATTACAAAAAAAAATGTATCTGACTATTTACATTAGTTGTCTAGTACCCAAAACATAAGCTCTACTTCACTTGGAACTAGGTGACACTGCTGTTTTTTTGCTTCTAATGCTATTGGCCGCAGCTGGCCTTTACAGCTTCACCGAACTATAGCAGGCGAGTGCAGATGGCACTCCAAACACGCGGAAGGACTCGAGTGTATATGACATCCCAACCCCAACCAAGGCCTTATGGAGCGGCTGAAGGCCAACTCCCACCTGACGGACACGACTTTAGTCTGAGGGCACCGCTAGGGTTTCGAACCTGCGCACAGGCCGTCGTAATTTCGATCCTCCTTTGAATTCGACGCGGGATCGATCAGTGGGATCTGGGTGGCACTGTGTGAAATGTCCTGAGTTAATATTATTGATATTAAACATCGATTTAGGAGTTTCTGAAAAACAACCGATTATCCAAAAACCTAGTGAAGATTGTGAACAAATATTCTTTGCATTTATGGCGGGAGTCGCGCGGCGAGCAAGTGCCGCACTTCCTGAGTACTGCACCGTTGTGCATCAAACTGAATGTCATGTCTGCAGCTTATTTAACACATCTGACCAGTGTAAGTATCATCATATTATCATTAGAATAGAATAGAAAATCATTTATTCAAATAAACTTAATTTAAGCACTTTTGAATAGTCATAACAATTTGTTTTTTATCTACCACTCGTTCGGAAAGCTGTCTCATCACAAGAAGAACGAGCAAGAAACTTGTGTGTTGCTCTTTTAAATAATCCTTGTAAGTTTACATTTACAAGTCGAAACGTGTGAATACAAAGTACCAATTACCATTATTTACCATTACAACATCTTATCACTAAAATCATTTTCATCACATTATATTGAATCACATTGAATGGAAATCGTCTTTATTTGGGCGAGAAAGGGATCGTTAGTAATGTGGGTCGCTTTTCCCAGCAATGTACCATGTCAGGTAGACCTCCACACACGTTTCCCCACGGAAACCATCGTGGTAAATTGCCATTTGCCAAGATGGGCTAACTGACCTGATTTCATGTTCATTTTATCATCATCCACTGATGCCCGGCGGCGTAAACCGTTAGCGCAGACGGGTGCATCATCACCAATAGTCGTAACGCTTCCAGTAAGTGGTCAAATTTCTACACTAAATATTTGTGGTCGTACTCACGCTAATGGTAAAGGGAATTAAACTAAATGATATAAATCCCTTAAGTAAAGTAATAGACTTCTGCAAAACAATACCTAATTGTATAAAATATCATTGTAAAACGCCTCATTTTTCCTGTAAAAACTGACAAAATAGGTAAGAAACTCTATATAATTGTACATACATAATAAGTCTACGTAATAGTACTACATTGAAGTAAAGTTTTGACATATATTAACATTTAATGTTAGACATAGACACCTATATAAATATACATTGTATATAAACTGGCTTTAAAAAAAAAGTAATTCAATTGATTTTCTTGCTAGTTCTTCTCAATTGGATCTATATACCGAACTGAACGGTAGGGAAAAAAATATAATATAAAAATATTGACGCGGCTAAAATGTTCTACATGAATAAATGACTTTTGAATTATAAATATCATAGACACCTATATAAATACCTATGCATTGTAAATAAACTGGCTTTTAAAAAAAAAGTAATTCAATAGAGTTTCTTGCCAGTTCTTCTCAATTGGATCTATATACCGAACTGGACGATAGGAAAATAAAATTATAATGTAAAAACTTGACGTTCATAAGCGGCTAAAATGTTCTACATGAATAAATGATTTTTGAATTTGGTCTCTACTTCGGATAAATAGGACTGTGTACTTAACTGAGTAGCAAATTATTGTGTATTAATAAAAAAAAACAAAGGTTTACGGAAAACTATAACAATCGTAATCACCGGTTGATAATTTTAATTTCAGAATCCCATATTTCAATATTGTGAACCCGCGTTCCTGAGGCAACTCGTGGGGCATCTACAATTGTATATTTATAATGCAGGTAGTCTTACTACATACGTAATTACGTATATTTTATTTATATATTTATTAAATATTTAATCTATACATCTACACATATAAATAAAATTGGAGTGTCTGTTTGTAATATCGAAATAACTGTTTTTTACTACATGCATATGAATATGAATACGGTTAACGGTATATACACCAAAATAACATTATTAAAAATTTTTGTCTGTTACTTCAATATTACAAACAAACACTCCAATTTTATTTCTATGTATAGATAATAATTTATATAGTGCTCTTAGCATCATCACTGATTGGTGATGTAATAAATATTTCTATTAATATAATTCTATTCTACTCTATATTATCATCATTACATAGTATAACACAAAGTCGCTGTCGCTGTCTGTCTGTCCCTATGTATGCTTAAATCTTTAAAACTACGCAACGGATTTTGAAGCGGTTTTTTTAATAGATAGAGTGATTCAAGAGGAAGGTTTATATGTATAATACATATACATGTACGAAGCCGGGATGGGTTAGTTAGGAAGCTAGTTATATAACACTTCAAAATCCCTTGCGTAATTTTAAAGATTTAAGTATACATCAGTACGTAGTATAAAACAAAGTCGCTGTCGCTGTCTGTCCCTAGACAGATATGATGATAACTATCCAGCATCGCTTGAAAACCAAACTTCTAAGATTTATTTTTGGATGTTCAGGCATGTATGTAGTGAAGGAGAGCGAGATTACTGACTCCATGTATATAATACATTCGGGCCAGGTTCAGGAAACGGCATCAAACCACAACTCCTCGAAGGTGTTCACCACGGGAGATTACTTTGGAATGGTAAAACAAATGAACTTCTGTCCTGACATTTTCCTTATCCCATTTATTTGGGGTCGGCGTAATATATACGTCTATACATATAAATAAAATTGGAGTGTCTGTTTGTAATATTGAAATAACCGATTTTTAATAAATGCATATGAATATAAATACGGTACATAAACCAAAATAACATTTTTTAAAATTTTTGTCTGTCTGTCTGTCTGTTTGTTCCGGCTGATCTCGGAAATGGCTGGACCGATTTTGATGGGACTTTTTTTTGGCAGGTAGCTGATCGAACATGGATTAACGTAGGCTACTTTTATTTTAACTTATATGAACAGATCTCACGCCGAATTTCATTGAAATTTATTTATTAAATGAAAATGTACCAGACAGACTTATATTTTCGTATTTATAACATTAGTATGGATTATTATTAATATATTAATATATTTCATTCGCAGTATGAAGGTGTAATCCGCAATACATCTTATGCATACACATATCAAACGATCACCAAATCCCGAGTCCTTACGCTTCAATTGACCGACTGGGAGTACCTACTAGAACATTTCCCTATAAGTAAAGATATCATTTTTAAATGTATGAAGTTTGATGATGATCGTAGACATACACAGGGAGGTATGGAGCCAGGTCAGGCAGACAATGCTATGAATAAAGGACAGCATTTCAAAGAGAACGTTACGTCATCTTGCCAAGATCCTCCTGGACCACCTGGATCAACTCCATTTCAGCCACGGCCGCCATCTAAAACAGTATCCTCGTCTCCATCACCTGTAGGAACAGGCGAAACAGTTATTGTTTCTTCTGAACAAATTGAAAGTCCTACAGAAATTGTAGAAGTATCTCAACAAGAAATAGATACAGAAATATCTAAACAAAGAGTATCTTCGTCAGACACTTCCAGAGATAAGTATCCTAACAGAATATTAGATCGTGGACCGTCTCGTACAGATATAGGTTCCGCGGATACAGAAATGTGGAATGAAAGTAAGACTAATAATGGTAACGATATGATAAAAAGTACTGAAGAAGTAGGATTTCTGGACAAAGTAAAAAGCGAAATTCATTTAGAGCAGTCTAGAGAACCATCGAGTAAGTCTCTTTATGAAATTAAAAATACATCTGAACCGAGAAGTCCTAGAGATGTAGAAGAGGCATTAAAGAAACCTTCTACCCTAATAGAAAAAGCAAAGAAATTATTTCACAAGAAACAACCGAAATCTGTCGAACTATTCGGCGAAAGCTCTAAAACTAGTGAAAAAGATGTGTTACTGATAGAGGAAGAAGAAGCGACTACATCACTACTCTTAAAGAAATTTTCAGAACCATCTGAAAATGTAAATAGCAAAGAATCAGAAAAAGAAATCGTAATTGCAAAAATAAGCAGGACTAACTCTGAAGAAGTTATGGAAGAAGAAAATGAAGAGCATATGCTTACAATAGATATTGCAAAAACCTCGATAGAGAATTCTAAACGTGTTGTCAAAAGTTCACTACTTGGTAAAGATAGAAAGTCAAAAGAAAGTCTTAATGTAGAAAATATTGTAACAGATGATGATATTCCAGATGCATCAGATGTTAATGATACCGAACGGTCGTCGTTAAATGCGAAAGACGAAGCGACATCTACTTCACGTCTAAATAGACGTTTTATTCGTGTGCGATACGAAGAAGATAAGGTTCAAAATAATTTAGAAAATCGTGAGACTATTCAAAATATAAAAAACCTTAGAACAGTGGACAGTAATGTGCCAATAAAAGCCCAATCCATTGAAGAAAATAAAACTGAATCTAGTTCAGATATTAAAGAATCTAGTACAGATAGATCAGATACTGACAATAAAAATAAACATGATTCGGTATAGATTATTATTTGAAAATATGAAAGGTGACGAAGTCCAAAAGTCATCCTATATTGTAACGCATTTTCAGAAAGAAACAGCAGTAGAATAATTTCGTCAATCATGACTATTATAAATCACGTTAGCAATCGATATCTATATGTTTCGCCATCCTTAAACTGCTCATTCACAGATCTAAGGTTATCAACGAGGCATGTATTTATCAATTACTGAAGTCAGTCCATTTGGAACCTGGCCAACGCTACGACTATTTAGGAGTATCGTAAACATCAGTTATTTGTATAGCGGTTAACCACCACATATTGTACATCGTGACGTTATACTCGGTTTGTTTATGTTGATATTTAGTAACGCGTTCTGTTCTATTACATTTTCATAACAGTATATCATTGGAGTGCGTGCCAAAAATTTTTAGTTGAAATAGTCAAGTTGTTGACGCTTATTTTTATTGGTTTAAATAGTTTTGTTGTTGCAGACTGTTGCTTCGTTACTATATTTATTTTTACTTCAATGTTTATTTTCGTTTTATTAATATTATAATCGGTTTTATCTTATTACCTGTTTCTTTGATATTGTTGAAGGATTACGCTTAATAAAAGAGGTGTTACATACAAAACTTTATTATAAAACACTTAATAATTATTAACATCGATAAATATCTAAATCGAGATGGCTTGCACTGCTCAGCAACACATTGCTACAGCTCACCCTCGCTCTTATTCCCCGACTCTAACTGTTGTCTTTCACTTACATTTTTACAGTTTAATTACATTGGAATGCCCAGCACATTTATTAACTTGATGATATTGTTAACTTAGACGTCCACCTTGCGAACCTCGGGTTCTCTATCTGCGGTCTTAAGTTCGTTAAATGCTTGGCTATGCTTGCTATTGCTAAAACTTATTATTAACTTAGTTACTACAATTACGGTTCCTTAAATGTATTTTTGGCATTATAGCGTTCCACCTCCTTCCATTGGTCTCACATCTTCGGGTGTTCCACAACGCCCATTATCTGGAACAAATGTTATTAGCGTTATTACCAATTCATTATTTTATTATTACACCTTCCTTTATTTACAATCTAATCTTACGATTACAAATGCGTTATTTAAAAGTTGCTGTAAAAGAATTTTATGGGGACATTAAATTAACATAATTTCAGCTTTTTTTTTTATTTAAGCATATTTGAACATTTTTATCCATAAAACTAAGCAGCTAAACGGATCTTAATGCCATTTTATTATTACGAAGGCCTTCGTCTGGAATAAAATGGCAGTAGCTGCTAGTTTTTTATGCAAATATTATGTTCTTATTTTATGTAATCTGAAATAGGCATTTTGGTCTATTTGGTCACTCGGATTTAATACACAAGACGGGGTGCTCATCAGACTGAAACGAATAACTATAAAAAAAGTCAGTCGCAGTCTCTCTTATTAAATTTGGTTTATTATTAACAATATTTCCTATATATTGGTATATTAGTTAAACGTAGTGATCATTTGCTCAATGAGAGAGTGAGTAGTTATACTTTTTTATAAGATGTTCCAAATTCAAAATTGATATAACATTATTGATGTCGCCAGCGCTGTAAGCAAATGATTTATTGCCGTTGGTCCGGTCATAGACATCTTTAATTTTATTTTTCTCGACACCGGAATTAGCTTTAGTAATTGATGTGTTTGTGGCCGTCGACAGCGCGCGGGAAAAATATATTTACTCTTAAAATGCTTAGCAACGTTATTTTAAGAAATGAATTGAAAATTCTAGATTAAATACGAGTATATACTGATGCACCCGCTAATAAAAACGTCAAAATAAAAAAAAATCACTTTAGCTATAAAACTGTTTTGAAACTTGTCTTTGGCGCTATTTTCTTAATTTCATAGAAAGTGATGAAACACAAAGATGATATATGTTTTAGTTTTAATGAATAACTGTCTTAAAAAACTTTATCACAATGTAAACTTGAACTTCACTGTCTGAAAAACCATTCCTGATTAAGAAGCTAATCACTTCTGTTATACGACTCAGTAGTGTGAATAGACGAACAAATATACACCTTTTATAAAATACTAGGCTGTTCTCGCGACTTCGTCCGCGTGGAATTATACTTTTTTTTCTAAAATAAAAAAATGTTTCTAAAATAAAAGTCGCCTAAGTTACTCCTTGCTACATCAGCTACCTGCCAAAAAAGTCCCGTCAAAATCGGTACAGCCATTTCTGATTATCCGGAACAATAAAAAAAAATATTATTTTGGTGTTTATATTCATAGTAAAAAACGGTTAATTCAATATTACAAATAGACACTCCAATTTTATTTATAAGTGTAGATTTGAAAGATACAAAATTATAGAATGGTGAATGGAGTTCATTATCAGAGCACCAGTGCAGTATAACAGGGTGAGATGAAATATCAGTTTGTCCATGGTAACGAATCACTATAACAGAATAGAACTACTATGTTTTGCAGGCTGCGTGAAGGTCAACCTGACAAGTTGCTTTGCTATGGGACCTCTACAACCCGGTACTAGCCATCTGCTAACCTAAGTTTTTTGTTCTTTGCGATAGCATATGCTGGTGGTCACTCTATTCTCCCAAATTTGAATTTTGATGACTATGTATTATTATAAACATGTTCCACTATTATTTGAAAAGAATACAAGCTGAGTTTCTTGTCAGTTCTTCTCATCTCGATATCATTCCGAACTGACGGTAGATTTGACATATCATAAGAGTCTGTAATAGTCCTACATGAATAAAGATATTTTGAATTTGAATTTGAATTTATTAATAATGGTAAATGATGGCAAGACTTGTGATGTACCCAGAAGAAATCTATTCACCATAGTCTTGAAGAATCCGGGGTTGTCTTTCTCCGGGAACACAAAATCTGGAAGTGTGTCCCAATCACTATTACCTCGCGAAAATGTATTTCCCGCGCCGCACTACCACTTAGCAACGTAAATACACGAAATACCAATTTGTATCCGGTTGTAGCTCTGAAAGCTTTCAATCAATTGCGACGTGCGTACTAATTGAAGATATGCGGGCAGCGCCACCCGCGGCTCCTATGTTTACAATAATATGTTTGTTAGTTGAGAATACCTATTACTCAAATGTAACTAACAATAACAAGAACGAGGTATTTTAGGGTAGGAATAAATATTGACCGATTAATTTTGTTTTCCTCTTTTATAGGGCAAGATACCATAAGACAATGTTTAATATAGTTTCCTACGACCTAGATTAAAAAATTGTTATATTTATTATCTACTAGCCAACCACCCCGGCTCCGCACGGGTGTACATCTATTATACATATAAACCTTCCTCTTGAATCACTCTATCTATAAAAAAAACTGCGTCAAAATCCGTTGCGTAGTTTTAAAGATTTATGCATACATAGGGACGGACAGACAGCGACAGCGACTTTGTTTTATACTATGTAATGATATGTAAATCCCGAAATTCCTACCGGAGTTTAAATAGGTATAGTAATAATCTTCATTCAAATAAAGTTAATACAAAGCATTTTTGTATAGTTATATCTTTTATTCTACCACTCATTCTGAACGCAAATAAGAAGAAAGAGCAAGAAACTTGCGTATTGCTTTTTTACATAAGTGTTATAATTAGAATATAGAATTACTAGAATCTACTAGAATCTAGAATTAGATTTTCGAAAATTTTATGTGAATATAAATTATTTATGCCAATTTGATAATAGACATAAATAAATGAATATTTATTGGAGTGCCAAAATAAATCAGATTTTATAATAAACTGCCAGAATGTGTTCTAAATCTTAAGATTAGATGGCGCTGTGTGAATTGGCTAGGGATATTAATCAATGTAGTTGAACCACAGATAACATAATATTACATCGTTGAACAGACTGAAAGCTATTTTGTGAATCTGTGGCTAAACACACATAACAATGTAATCATAAATGACGAGAAACGCCGTTATATCGTAAACTTCATGCTACTTCAAAACATAAAACATCTGGTAGTTAATCTTTAACAATTAAAATTAAGTAGTTAATCCTTAATTATTGTGTTTAATATTTTAATGAAGATTAACCAGTCTACATAAATTAGCGTATTTACACAGACAGACAAAGAGATATCGTTGGTATTCACAACAAGTTGTCAAATTACTATTGTCACCCCGGCGCTGAGTGACAGTCACACTTGACATGTTTACAATTGGTTGACCGTTTTGATCCGTTTTTTTAAGAATAATACTTGGCAAGTGTACAATTTTAAATACAAAAATATTTTTACAGATGCGCCAATATGGGTTTTAATTTGGGAATGCAGGTAGGAGCTCAGCTTATGCAGCTTTGCGGGTACGATCTATGATGGTCGCAGTGCTACAGGTCCAAGCACCTGACTATAGCCCAAAGCTCCCCAATATAAAATATGTAACTTGAATACCTAAATATATATGTATCTAAAGCTGCATTAGCAGGCTGCTACCAGATTTGGTTGGGCAGGGAGAGAAACACGAGTGGTGAAGGTGTTAACAGTAACATACGTTGCCAAAAGGGCCTTAACACCTGTCCCGGGAACTGCTCGGAGTTAGCCTCTCTACTACATGGACTGCTAAGAATGGAATCCATGGAGTGCTAAGAAGTTCATCCCTCTAATTGCTCTTGTAATTTTAATATTGTGGAATTGGTCATCATTGCTTTCTTGATTTAATTGATTGATTTTAGAAATATGAAAGCGTAGCGGTTTTTGTATTGATTGCCGCATGCATTATTATGTAAAATGTGAATACTATAACTATCAGATGGCAATTGTAAGTAGCTTTGACGTGGTCTAGTGTTTTGAGTATTCATGCTCACTAAAATGTCCAGACTTGTGGCGGCGTGGTGGGCCGGGTCATTGGGCTCCCTAAAATATGGTCGAGCGCAGTGATGGCTGGCTCATCCGTCATACTCGTGAACGGGTGCTGCTTGTAGGGACTGGTCTGCTCTAATCACTATGACTGATTTCCTCTTATTAATTGTTTAACCAGTGGGTTATATATTCAATATTTTTTTCTATTTGAGTATTTAATAGAATTAGTGCTAATTGGTGGTTTGTATTCACACACTTAAACTTAAAAATGTAAAGTAATAATACTATTATATAAAAGAGCAATACGCAAGTTTCTTGCTCGTTCTTCTTGTGATGAGACAGCTTTCCGAACGAGCGGTAGATTAAAAAATGTAATGACTATTCAAAAGTGCTTCAATGTAAGTTTATTTGAATAAATGATTTTCTATTCTATTCTATTGGGGTAAGGGTTTGTTACTAATGTGACTTCCACGCGGGTCCTACTGGAAATCATTGTGATAGATTCCTCATGAATTTGCCTTGTGCTAACTGACCTGACCTCATTTCATCTTATCATCCTCCACTGGTGCCCCGTCAGCGTAGACCGTTGGCGCGGGCGGGTGCATTTCATTACGATCCATTCAATTTTTTGAGGAATCTCAATCGGCAGACATTTAAGACATCGAACTATCGCGGTTGCGATTCGATTAGCTTTAATCAATATCTGCGTTTCATCTAAAAACCTCATATTATCCCGACATAAATTAATTTCAATTATAGAATAACATCCGGCCGTCAATCATATCTCTCACATTAGCTATGACATGCCGCTGTTTATTTGAAATGAAAATAAATCGCTCGTTTATTTAGATAGTTGTTCTAAATAATGTCTGAACGTTTAATCAAAATGTCTGAAGGAAAATAGAAATGTAATTCCA